CAAATAAAGGATTTATTTATTTATTTAAAAATTAATGAATAGAAAATTAAAACAAATTATAAAAGTTTGGTATTAAAGGTACACTGCGTACCTTAAACGCTGGCAGCATTTACTCGCTGTATTGCGATACTTATTCGTTGAGCGGGGAAAGCACCAGCTCTGGGGTCACCGGTACGATCTACCAGGCGCTATCTATCTATCTCGTATTATCTCTATTTTGTATAATCTCTTTAAATTAATATGACCAAATCCTAGGGTATATTTGTCCTGGGCAATAAATCATACGGTGAAGTGACGAGAGGAATCCTATACATCTGGGAGCTTACATAGACGGCGTGAGTCAGGAACAAAAAATTAAATCAATTCCTTGTCTATAAAGAAAAGTGTTCATAGCAAAAGATATAATATTTAATTGGGACCTATTTTTCTCGACTCTTACTATCCGATACACATCTTACATGCTAACGACCACATTAGGATGGCCTGTAATATGTGATACATTTAAAATAAAGGGCGGGATTGTTTGTTACATCTATGAATCTTATATAAGGAAGTTGAAGCATGGAAATCAAAATAATTGAAATACCGGAACACAAACCCTTTGAAGTAATTTGGCTGTTGTCCAAGAGTATTAGCATCAATCAAGTGATGCGCCCGATCAACAATTTATTGGTCAATTTCACGAGATCATAATGTATTGTTTTTGAAGAATTAGAATATATAATAGTGTATTCGTCGTTACTCCACTAAATGTTATATTTATATAATATTATAAATAGGTAACATTTGAATATAAAAAAAAATCAAAATCATTTATTCATATAGGTAACACAATGTACACTTATGAACGTCAAAAAAAAATACATTAAATGCTTCTAATTTTACATTTACTGCCAGTTCTTAGAACGGTGTAGAACGGAAGAAAAGAACTGTCAATAAACTCTCCGTCACTCTTTTTATTCCGTAGCCGTTGGCTAGAGTATGTTCATCATAATATGTAAGTATTATCGATTGTCAATTGCAGTGTCAATATATAGGCACTTTGATTAATGGCGTAGCGAGTAGGAAGACAATAAAATATATTATCTTTGGAAAAACACCTCGTTTAACCTTTTTAACACTTAAATAAATGTTTATTGTTTTCAGTATTTACATTTATTCTAGGATATTTAAAATGAAAATACGTCTGTAAGCTAATAGAAGTATATTAATTCATAATTTTGCGTCAAAAATTCAAGACGGCCCCTACTCGCATATGAATATAGAGTAATAGGAATAGAAATGTATATATATTAGGAAACCACACCACAAGAATCGGGGATATTAAGTAATTTATAATAAAAAAACAGCGCTGTTACAATATTATCAAGATACATCTTTTAAGTGAGCAGATCAGTTTAAAAATAACTAGCAAGATAATGTTCCCTGAATACTTTTGATGTACGATTTCGGATTTTACGTAGTCTCTTAGTTAACATATCAAACGCCTAATAATAAGAATCGCCTGCATTTTTTATGTTTTTCTTGTCCAGGATTCACAAAAAGACTTTAGCGACGGCTGTAACCTAATAACTGCTGAACATTATTTTAAGTCACGTGACAAAGCTAATGTCAACGTTAATGTCAACGTCAATGTCAATGTCTCCCTTGAGTTTGACATGTATAAAACCTTAAAAACACATCGCTTATACTATAATGACAGTCATGCATTATTAGGCGAAACGAAGTGATTATAACTACTCTTTTGATAAGCAATTTAAAAATTAAAATAGTTTAATAATTGTGTGGTATTAATATAAAATAGAAATCTAGAATAGTTATTTTAGGTCTTTGATAATGATATTTACACTAGTTTTTTTTACGTAACTGCTTACGTAAGGATGTACAGTGAAATTAGTCTCGAGAAATTTTTGCATATGTAGTGGTGTGTATATTACTCAGATCTTAGAGCGCGTTTCCACTATATCGTTCTGGCCTATACAAAAATGTTTCGATATCCTAACATTACTATTTAATATTATACTTATCCCTAGCAACACTCTGATTTTTGTTATCAATAAAAACAAGTTTTTATTTAAAAAAAAGGTTTTGACTTTATAAAAAAAGGTGTGTGCGCGATTCACACACGATAGAAGTGAAACTTCAAAGAGGAGAGACCGATATATATTTTTTTTCCTTTCATCTAGGTTTTTAAAACTCCGGGGGGTCTACGGGGGGTCAAAATTTATTTTTGGCCTAGGACGCACCGTTTCCGAGATATTTCAATCTAAAGCAAAAAATCGTCACTTGATAGTGGAAAGTGGAAACACGCACAAAACCAGAATAAACCAGTTTACGCTGTCCGCAGGTGCCACGTGCAGTCCGGCGTCAGTCGCTTGGTACTGTTAGAACATAAAGCACACATTTCATTCAAAAATTATAATTATTACGTTAATTGTTAAATTTTGTATTTGTTGATTGTTGTTATTGTTTGTTATTATTGTTATAATATTTGTTGAAGTGTTTAATTTGTGTGTAAGTGTTGCAACTTTATATTGTTAATTAAAAATGGCTCCAGTGTTAAAACATGGTCGAGGCAAGCCTTTGACTTCTCAAACTAAAGAAGTTTTGTACTGTTTGTACAAATATTTCGAAAATGAGTGTAATAACAACCCGAGCAGTATTATGACTCCCACTCAATTAGTTGCTAAATCAACGGGAATTTCAATAGCATCCGTCAGAAAGGTAGTATCAGAAAGCAAATGTCGACCTTCAGATCAGGAAGTAACATTTAAATCTCCTAAAAAGAAACCGAATCGTAAACCTACAATAGTAATCGATAACTTTGATCAGCAAGTTATCAGAAGAACAATTCATGACTTCCACATCACAAATAAAGAAATTCCCACTTTGAAAACTTTGCACGCAAAATTAAAAGAAGATATCGATTATAAAGGTTGTGTCAGCACGTTACGAAAACACGTCATGTCATTAGGTTTTAATTGGAAGCAAACAGAAGATAACCGGAAACTTCTTATGGAAAAACACGAAATTAGATACTTGCGAATTAATTATTTGATGAAAATTGCTGAATATCGTGAACAACGCCGACCAATTGTTTACACCGACGAAACATATATACATACATCACATACCCTCTCGAAATCTTGGTCAGATGGAAGCACTTCAGGTTTGAAGCAACATATATCGAAAGGCAACCGCTTAATCATTGTTCATGCCGGTGGTATGGATGGCTTTATACCAAATGCATTGCTTATGTTTAAAGCCAACCAAAAAAGTGGAGATTACCACGACAATATGAACTATGACAACTATTCAAGGTGGATTCAAACTCAATTAATACCCAACTTACAACCAAATAGTGTTGTTGTTGTTGACAACGCACCATATCATAACTCAATACAAAATCCTGCACCGAATAGTAATTCTAGAAAACAGCAAATGATTGACTGGCTGACATTGCGAAACATTGAGCATTCATCCACGTTGCTTAAGCCTCAATTATATGAACTGATTCTGCAAAACAAGGCGAGATTTGTAGAGTACAAGATAGACGAAATATTACGACAGCACGGTCATACTGTGCTGCGTTTACCACCATACCATCCGGAGTTTAATCCTATAGAAAATATATGGGGGATAGTGAAAACATATGTCGCAAAAAAGAATGTCGCAATGAATATGAAGGTTATAATGTCATTAGCTGAAGAAAAAATGAACGCCATAACTGTAGAGGAATGGAGAAAAGTTTGTCTGCATGCTATTGAGGAGGAAAACAAATATCAGGGTAGAGACGCAGCTTTAGACACAATATCAGAACGAATCATAATTAATTTAAATAATTCATCTGATGAAAGCGAGGATGGGGATGATTGTGATATGCCTGGGGTTGATGAATTATTAGAATAAAACATTTATGGCCGGAGAACACCTAATTCATACACGTCTTCACTGAAGTGAAAACCGGCATTCACTGCTTGTAATATTTGGAACTGGCTTATCTGCCTCATACAGTTCCATAGATTACAATGCAGTGGATACACATTTTCACGTCCGTATTAGTACGTAGTGCGTATGCGTAGACGTGTACGCATTTGGTGTGCTCCAGCCACAAACGTATATTACCTTTAAAAAAATAAAAACTAAAAATAAAATGTTGTTTTTTTTTTTATTTGCTGACCATACACTACTACAAACGCAAAAATTTCTCCAAGCTAATTTACCTGTATCTTCATAATATTTTCTTTCCAAGAACAATATGCAATTATTCTTAGTGACAGGTGCTAATATATTATTCAGTACAAAGGAATAAATATATATTATATATAGTGGACCCCACAGACGTTGTCCTGCATGATATTTAAAGCGATTAGGATATTAAGCAAAGTATGAAAGTACCGACTGCAGTGCCATCTGCCGGGCTGATTTGTGAATCTAAACCATTCCCAGATCACCTTGAAGACACACAAAAAATTTCATCAAAATCGGCCCAGTCGTTTGAGAGAAGTTCAGTGACATACACACTCACAGAAGAATTAATATATATAAAATATAACATACATATAGTATAGAAGTTTTTTTCTTAATAACAAATGTAATATGTATTTTTGCACTTCTTGGCTACCTTATCTAATTTAGTAAATTTTTTCTTTTCTCACAGAGGTTGCCTGGAAGAGATCGCTCGAAAGCGATAAGGCCGCCAGTTGCCCTCCTTTTCATTTAATTATGTTAAATTTTTATATTGTAATGCAACGAAGTCTTAATTAATAAAATAAATAAATATAATTTTTAGAAAGCATTAATAAAATGTGAGTCAGTGATGAGTCTTTTTTTCTTCAAATTTTCTCAAAATTACATCGGGGAACTCACGATACACTGGTTTTAAGCTGTGCAGGTAATTTTATTATTTAAATTGTTATAAACGTGATAAACAAGCTTCCAAACAATTATGGTACTTTTTATGTAAAACATATAAGTAATAAATTTATATTTCTACGCAATTATAAACTTACATCTCTGAACTGAGCGATGCCAGCTTCCCCCAGCTCATACATAGATACGTAAGCAGCTTCCGGCTGCACGAAGAGCTGACACAGCACCATCTCCTCACTTCGAAACATTGTTAATGCTGTACCTGAAAAAATAGATATACATACAGTTTTTGTAGTCTTGCTTAGGGCATGGGACAGTCGACATGCCTTCATTCATGTAAGACAATGTTGGAAAAAAATTATACGTATTTATAACAGATGGCTTAACCCAGCACGCAAACAAAACAACAATTGTATTGCTTATTTGCATAAAATGTTTCGATATAAAATGAAAATAAATCAGTGGCGCTACAACATTTTTAGGTCTGGGCCTCAGATTTCTGTATCTGATCATTTGTCAATCTAATAGAAGAGTAGGAGCCTTCTGTGCCTGACACATGCCGTCAACTTTTTGGGTCTAAGGCGATGTTTTCCTTCACCGTTCGAGCGAATGTTAAATGCGCACATAGAAAGAAATTCCATTGGTGCACAGCCGGGGATCGAACCTACTACCTCAAAGTCGCAAGCTCAAGCCACTTGGTCTACACTGCTCAATATAGGCACAGTTTCGGTATAGGCTTTCATAAAAATCAAAATATATGGAATCCCATACCTTTACTGAATTAATTGTATTAGGGATATTATCTGATTATCGATCGCAAATCTAAAGGTTAAGGTCGTTGTGCTTTTGTACTCAAACATAGCTACAACCTTCCTTTCATATACCAGTTTGCACTAGTGAAAATGCACAATACTCTTTGATTTAAATCTTACTAATTCCAACATAAAAACTGTTACTTAACGACCTTATGCTTCTTGTTTAAAAGTTGTCTTAAAATATCTTTTAATTTATGTCTTATATCCCATAATGAAGAAAATGTTTTACTGTTGTTTCTAACACCGAGTAGTTTTACATTTTAGCATTCGAATCACATGGATTTTAATGATATCCGCGAAATTAACACCTGCTTCTGTGAAGCCAAACATTGCGAGGAATCCGGAGTGTCTCAAATCCAAAAATATACGATATCAGTCATAGAAGGCTGATCCCCTACTTGTCTATAAAAACTAAAAATGATTACATAAATGGATCCAATCTGCAAGACCCATGAGTTGTAGCGCTACAGTATTATTTTTTTAACTAGTTTTTATTAATACATGCTTTAAAAAAATTGAACGGACTGCAAAATTATAAAATGTTACCTATTCGCTGCGAATCGAATCATTAGACACTTCGGTCCACGGTCGGTGTAGCTATTCTTCCACATACACGCAGACAGCTCAGAACAAACCATATAATACAAAATACAACAAAACTTGTCAAGGTTGCAGCTAAATCAAATTCCAGACTGTTCACCTTACGTATGGCATTTAGCTAAATGCGTGACCTAATATCAATAGTAGCATTCGCAATGTCCCGGCGGGACGAGACAGCTTTTGTATTTTTGTACCTGGCCATTCGCCAAATAGTACGAACTTTATCACGTCTTATCGTGGTTCAGTTTTATCAATTGCAATTGAATCACAATAGCTCTTAATGTGCGAGCAATGCTTGGCTATTTCAATGATAAATATAATTCTGAACTAAACTGACACTGGTTAATTTTGTTACCAAATATTTTGGTTATAAATAACCCCGTACTACTTAATAGTAAATGGTTAGTTCAGTTGTTATTATATTTATTTTAACTATACCCGATTTACATATAAACTCAACCATTAATTACCCTGTTTTACTGAATTATTTTATAGTTTTAGTGTTTGCATTGTGTTTAAAAGAGACTTTAGAGAAGTCGAAGAGTTTTATATCAGTTAATCTAATCTACAAATACAATCTATACTAATAAGTAAGTAAGTAGCCTTGGAGACCATGGCCATTGCCAAAAGAGTGCAGGTCGTTTTTTGGTTGACATTATATGGGCGCCGCTCTCTTGCCTCCGTCAATGTTCCAGCCATTTTGGAGCCAACAGACGTCGCAAGAGACGATGGCAACGGCCCGATGGGATGCCGTTGATCCCTTGCAAGATGGGACGGGCTTTGGTATGGGATGCTACTTGTGTGGACACGTTTGCCCCGGACAAGCGGAAAGGCTGGGACGGCCGTAGAGAAGGAAATTAATAAACGGCTCAAATATAAGTCTTTCCTCCAACTTAGATTTTGTTTCCTTTGGAGTAGAGACTCTTGGGCCGTGGGGTTCAAGTGCACAGGCGCTAATTAAAGAGTGAAATTGGCGCCTGGTAGATAGTACCGGTGACCCCAGAGCTGGTGCATTCCTCGCTCAACGAATAAGTATCGCACAGCTAGGAAATGCTGCCAGTGTTAAAGGTACACTGCCACATGAACCAAACATTTAAAATTTGTTTTAATTGTATGTTTATTAATTTTTAATTATTTTATTATTACTATGTAGGTTAAGAAAATTGTAAATACTGTATATTTGATTATTATGATAACTAATAAACAAAATCATCTATACTAATATTATAAAATTAAAAACTACTGGGCCGATTTCAAAATTTCTCGTAGAACAAAGCTTCAGGCTATCAGGATAATTACTAATATTTGTACTTCTACGTTATTAAATGCGAATTTGCGGTCAATTTATTATAGGATAGAGTCTTAAGTGAAACAAAAGTTAAGAAGGTTTCAGGGCCACAAGTGTAGTGGGAAAACCTATAACTCTTACGAAGTGAGTGCGAGCTAGCTTGTTCCAGCTTTCATGGTTACTTACTATAAATATATACGTATTTAATGTATTTTACTGGATAAAACTCAAAACGAATTGAGGTATGATTTTTGATGAACCTGCGGAAAAATATTAAATTTATTCTTATTACATCAAGTAGAACAAAAAACCGTTATTTTCTTCCTGATAAGTGTTCTATTGCAATCGCATGAATTTAAAGAATATGCTCAGTTCAAGAAAAACGGTACTACAACCCGCAACCTAATAACTAAGATATATCTAAAATATATAAGAAATATCGCAATTCATGAATCCGTGAGATTAACTGTTGAGATTGAGGTTGGTTTTTATAAGATTTGGTTATTCTTTTGCTTTGGTTCTTGCACTTTACCCATCATATTTCTTGTTTTTGTTTTATTCCTAAATAGGGTTGCCTGGAAGAGATCGCTTGTTAGCGATGAGCCCGCCTGTTTCAACCCTTATAATTTTTATGTATTATGGTATTTGGTTTTCTATAAATGTAATGTAACGAAGTGTAAATAAATAAATATTATATAAGCCTACTTAAGGAACAAGAAGCTTGTAATAATATGCATAAAGTATATGCTTTGCATTTACTAGGCTGCACTCATATGAATGGTTTTGATTTATATTTCTCTGGGTATCACCAGTAGCGATATAGAAATAACAAGACTTGATCTGTTTTTATTTACATTAAGAATTTATTAAATATGATATTTTAATTTGAGTGGAAACCTGAACAAGTAAGGTCATTAGGCGTCAGACAACAAAACAAACTTTTACATTTGAGTATGCGACCGATACGATTATGTATACATACAATCGACTCTCGATAATTTGACACTCGTTAATTTGAATCTCTCAATTATTTATATTTTTTTCCGGTCACTACAAAATACACGATAAATTGAATTAAATCAATGTAAATTGGTCCTCTCGGTACTTTTTTTATTTTTATTAATGGCTCTGGCACAATTTGTGCATTAGCCATCGTCAAGTATAGAATTTTTTTATAATTCGTGCTTTGTCTTTAGAAATTCGACCGTGTCCTCCATGTACGGTTTAAGCACTCGCCCGGTACCGCACAACCCTCCCAAAGGCCGAGAACAAATTTGAATTAAATTAAAACTTGCCCTCGAACCGGGAATCGAACCCGGTACCCCTCACCTAGCTGCCACTTAATAAGACCGCTAGGCTTTGAGGCCCCCATCTCGGTACTTTTAAGTTAACGGAACAGTATCTTGCTCGCAAAAATGCGATAAACTGTAATCCGGGCTTCCCTACTCTATATAATAAGTGTTTATCATGCACCGACCTTTAAATTGTGTTTTTTTTATTCTTTGGACAATGATAGACTAAAGGCGCTAAGTCAAAAAAAGATTACGGATTTCTTTTTTAAATTCACCGATGTCCAGATTGAACATTCTGTTAAACGAGCTGGGTCTGGATAACCATAGTTGCTCCCCTCACACTTTAAGATCGATTTTCGTTTAAGTTTTATTTAAATAATATTATTGTTTTGCTTAATTTATTTTTATTATTTCTTATATGCTGTTTGCCTATAAGTGCTTGTCACATTAAAAATTGTATTTTATTTTTATTTTTTTTATATTTCTTTTTCAATCTATCAGTGTGCCGAGCTTTGGCAAGCTTTTATAAATAAATAAATAAAATTCTTTTCGACATAAAAATTTGTTAATACATAATAATATAGAAATAATAAATCACGAATTTTGATTTTTAATTTTTATTACACCTCGTGTTTATTTAAACGCATGTCATTTTTAACTCTTGTTCATTTGAAACATATTTTTCTCTTGCCATCTATAAGAATATTAAGAAATATATCTGTAACAGTACACTAGTAAAAAATTGCTAAAAATATAGCCTGGTATTAGGTTTTAACACTTTAAACATTATAGGTATCAATTTATTTAGGTGTACGCAGTACGCCATAAAGCTAAAAGATATAAAGCTCGGTACGACCGACGGAGCATGGGACAGACAAATTTCTAACACTAGAAAATATTTCAAGTGTTAATTCTTGTAAGATAATAAATCCCATATTTATCGACTTCAACTTTTTCTGAAGCGTACGAGGTTTTTTTTATGTAACAGGAGGCAAACAAGCAGGAGGCTCATTTGATGTTAAGTGATATCGCCGCCCATGGACTGACTCACATTGTCAGAAGGCTCACAAGTGCGTTGCCGGCCTTTTAAGAAAGTATGACTCCATTGAGATAATATTACCTATATCGCTTATATTGTTCTATATAAACAGTATATGTTTAGTTGTTTACATAACAACGTGTACACTGTACAACATGGTTTCTGCGACTCTTCGCGCGAGTAGAGTCAGGTACCAATTTTCCCGTTACTCTTAGATACTTAGGTGAGTTGGTAAAACGAAATAGCGTAAACCTACGCGTTGATGATAAGAACAAATGATATAACAAAAATACAGTAATTAAAATGCATTTAATATACAATCGAAGGAATTATCCTTTGATACACCGGTTCTGTGACTCAAATGTGTATTAGCCTCGATTGGTGATGGATGTAGCAGAAGTATCACGGGCTGAGAAGGTTCGGAGAGACTGTTGGATTATTCGGTGTCCTAGCACCGGAGGTATATTAATTCGGATTCAGTTTTTTTAAATATAATAAATGTGAACAAGTATATGGCGAAATTTTTGCGAACTCCATGCTTTTCGATGACTACAATTTGTAAAATTAGAAGCATTTAGCATTTATTATGTATTTCTTTATTGACGTTTATAAGTGTACATTGTGTTTTACCTAAATTAATAAATGATTTTGACTTTTGACTTTTTTGATATTATTCTGCAGTGTGTAGTCAGGGAGCGTTCAAGTATTACGTAACGAATTTTGGAGGGGGGGTCCTTTTGTAAAACGTTACGATGCGGGGCGGGGATTGAATTACGCGTTATTGTTAATATTATTCGACTTTCCAGTACGTTACACCACATAATTGTAACTTTTAGGTATAAAGAGTCACTAGGTGGTAGTACTGTACTTGGGTACAGAAAAACGTTACGGCGCGTTACACGGCGGGAGGGGGGTCAATAATCTCCTAAAATTGCGTGACGTAATACTTGAACGCTCCCTCAGTCATAGTCAGTTCCTATACGGACTGTATAGGAAACGACTATTACAAACTAAATTATGTCCTCTTTTGTAACAAACTGCTAACTTCTAATCTATTATGATGCGAACAATATGCCGAAGCTGTCACATGCTGTTTTTGTAAATGCGTTTTAAGTGTCTTATGTCCTTGTTTCTGTTTACGTCAAGTCTGTACCTAAAGGTTCAAGGATTTTCCTTTTTTCTTCTTTGTAATAAAGGCAGGAATATTTTATTAGATACTCAATTCCGCCCGCAGCAACACTCGTGTTGAATTAATGTATTTCGGCAAAAAAAATGCGAACTCTTTAACAAAATTTTTCATATTTAAGTAAATATTTAGAATCACACCATATTGGTGACAGTACCAAAATCCATTCGGTAGGTATGAGTTAATCGCGTTCATACATTAAGACAAACACGGCAGGGAGACTGCCATTTATAATATGTAAGGATCAGGTTCCTTTAAAAAAAACCGCGTATAACGTATTTTGTCATTTTCAATAAACATTTTTATCTAAATCAATATTGACTTAACAAGTAACATAAATAGTACTAGTTTATTTTTCTCTAATTGCAGTTAAATAACACATTAAAAGAGTTAAAACGCGTATAATAAAATAATAAAATGATCCCGAAAATCGCGTAAATAGGGGTTTATCGTCATGGCCTCTTTATTCATTTATTATGTTATCATGGATCACACTGTATTCGTGTTGAAAGGTCAATCACCTGTATTTAATGAAGAATTCAAGAAACAGACACAAAATTGTGTTTGTAAGACGGCTGGACCGATTCCACTATTTGTTTTATTATTTCTTAAACGATAAGGAAGAATTTTCTCGAAAGAAAAATATTCAAAAATGAAAATTTAGTTTTATTTAGTACTTAGGTTTTTATTAAGGAAAAGCAAAAGTCTCTTAGCAAAATGTTACTACCTAAAAGGTCAAAACAACATAATATTAAGGTACAAACATCATATTAAGGTGAAACGAAGTTCACGGGGGCAGCTAGCATATAGATAAAAATGTAATAATAATTTTTGGCATATATTTATGTTCAATTACAAGTATGATATAATCTATAATAAACTTTATAAATTCGTCGAAAACTACCAATTTAACTGTCTCTCATTATAAACGCTTATCTACTGTTTTCACTTCCAGAATGTTTAAAATTTTTGTTATCAGGTCATCAAAGTTCAAATGTCAACTTTTAACATTAAGTAACAATCACCCAATATTAGTAACAGAAAAATACTCACAGAATATAGCATACAAATCACAAACACTATTTTAGTTTATTACGCGAAGGGAATACATTTTAAAATAAACCAAACGCGAACTAACGACTGTCTGCGACAAAATACGAATGACTTCTGCATTAAACAGTAAAATGTTTTGCTTTCGTCACAACGAGATGATAAAATGATGTATTATACAATGCTCCTTTTACCTATTTAATCCATTTGAACAACATATAAAGCGCAATGTATTAAGAAAGTTAAAGAGAGCGCTTCGTATTTTTTACTTGCTGGATATTGGTACATGCTTTGCATTTAAATGTTTAATGACGATATTCTACAGCTCCTTTCGGGGTCTTTAGAGGCTCTTGTTAAGGCCTACTACTACAACTGCGATATTGCCTGTACTGTTGCTGCAATCTTATATTATTATTAAAGCTTTATTAATCCATACAATAATTGGTTAGTTTGCATTCCTTAATATTAGTATTAGTTGTGTTTATATGAGTTTAAAAAAAAACTAAAAATTTTCAATCTTATATAAAAAGAGTCATTTATTAATTTTAACCTGACTGATGGTGTTATTATTGGCCTAATTAGGAGATTTTTTTACGATAAATCTTTATATATATAATTCTTCTGTGAGTGTGTATGTCACTGAACTTCTCTGAAACGACTGGACCGATTTTGATGAAATTTTTTGTGTGTGTTCAAGGGGATCTGGGAATGGTTTAGATTCACAAATCAGCCCGGCAGATGGCACTGCAGTCGGTACTTTCATACTTTTCTTAATATCCTAATCGCTTTAAATATCATGCAGGACAACGTCTGTGGGGTCCACTAGTTAGAATATAAAATCTTTCTCAATCTCAACTTCAGAAACAACTTTGTCCCTTACCATTAATAATTACCTACCATTGCTTCGCTGTAGAAAAACATCGTGATGAAAGGTCATATACAATAATAATTACCATAGACCCAACAATCGGCGATTTTTGGCAGGAACCTTTATCACATACTTTTTTATGAAAATAAATTATCAATGTAACAAATATATCTAAGGCCAAGACGAGCCTATTGAAAAATTTCCACTCGTTGAGAAAATCATCCATTGTATTATCGTAAGTACAGTAAACTATCTAAATAGAGTATACGTATAACACAAAATAGTTTTAATCCTGTCCTTTGTAAACGAAGAGTCTTGCTACCTTACCCAGGCTGAAGGGCAATTACCGACTTTGTTGTCCCAAGTTATAATTTGCGTTAACCGTAAATTGATCCCGATGTTGGTAATGGCAGGATATATCTGACATTTGGTAATTAAGAGATAGGTAGGGAAGCACAAGTTCAATAGAATTTTATATTTCCATGAGTGCATTAAATAAATTAATATAATATTTGCTCGAACGGTAGGAAAACGGGGCCGCTCGCTGGGCTGTATGTAAGCCGCATCAAGATGTCACAATATTGGTTATGACTCAGAATTTTCAGCGTGTTTTACCCTTTTCATAATATATTAAAAATATTTGATTCAATTAATAATAGACAAACATATTATGTGTCATTGATTTATCTTGTAAATGATTGTAACTTCTAATGAAGTGTTTACGATGTGCGTCTGAAACACAACAGACGCGCTTACTGCTTGGAATGTACCAATAAAATTAAGCAGTCACATTAAACACTTTTTACTTCTTTATTATTACTTCCGCACACATTTCAGGCACTTATTCAGACGGTGAGAGTAAAAGTAGATGTTCCACTTTTGCTTCTAATACTTATGTGTTTTATCGTGTTAATCCTTCCTCCAATACTGTGTAGGTTTCTAAGATGAATAAATTGTATAAAAGTTTTTGACGAACTTTTCGTATACAATACCAGTTTTTGTTGATAATAACTTTTACGTTAAGTATATTTTCATTTATGGTTAAGTCGTATAAGTAGGTATATATAATAATAAAAAAGAACTTTAGTTACGACAAAAGGGTTGTGACAGAATTCATATATCGCTAGTCCCCACACTAGGGAGGCCCTGTGTTGTGGGTAACTAGAAAACAATTATTACGTGGTTACATGCTTAAAACAGTTAAAAAAAACAATAATAATAAATTTAGTGTTACAAATTAAGAATGAGTGAATGGGTGTGTAAGCGCATGTATTTGAGAGTGTAGCTGAAAGTATAATATATCTAGTATCTATTTATAGGATTAAAGTGATATTTCTCTTGCAATCGTTGTTCAGGTTCTGCTCTAATCCTATGGAATGTTTCTTCTCAATTCGATAATCAGGTGTAAGAGTATTTTTGATTCCTTGAAATGAAATCAATCCGTTCGATTCGCCGACCTTTACCGATAGTCAGCAATTGCTCAGAGAAATTAGCAATTGTTCAGCATTGAAACTCTCATGTTTATTGTCAGCTGAAGTTTCTTCACATAAATTCGATGATTTGAGGCAAGCGTATATTCCGTCGGCAGCTGTCGATATTCGAATTGCTGGCAGTGTTTGGCGGAAATCGCCAGACAGTAAAGTCAATGCGCGAGCCATTGTGTAGATCTTTCAATGTCCTGTTAAGTGCTTTCAATGCACGTTTATGCGCCATTGTGCATTCGTCACAGATGATGATAATCGACGCTGATAAAAACTTTGGCCATTGCGGAGTGTTTTACAATATTACCTACATATTGGTTTAATTGCTTGAAGATTGAATGGCAACTTTAATGCTGAATGAGCCGTACGGCATCCTTCTAACGATGTGTCCAGAAGAAGCAACTGAAACCACAATGTTCGATCTTACACGAAGTGGCTAAAACTAGTGACATGAGGAATGTCTTACCTGTTCCAGCAGAGGCATCCAGGATATATAATCCACCATTACCATGTTCCAATTGTCTTCATTAATGTACCATAAACTTACATTGGTTGGGGATTTAACAGGAGTACCTACATTCCTTTGAACTACTAATTCCTGGTGATCATATTCACGTTCCCGTTCCAATGCTCTCTAAATGCGTCATTCATTATACAATATACATTATACAAACAGGCGCAGGCCTAACCTGACTAATAAACTACCGCAAAGAGCGTGCCAATTCTTATAAGGCCCGCAACGCACTTGCGAGCCAATGTGAGTGTCCATGGGCGGCGGTATCACGTAACATCAGGTGAGCTACCTGCCCGTTTGCCTCCTATTAAATAAAACAACAACACATTGCTAACACATGTCTACGATCAAGAGCAAAAGCCCGATAATGTCTCATTCATCTCAAGATAGGGATTTCTTGAACTGACATGAATTTGATGTGAAACATCTTTTGAGATATTATCCTTGTATTTGTGCCACAGGTAAGATTGGCTCGATGGAAAGCATGTCGAAATGATAATAGCAAATAATGCGCGTATCTGACCTGGAGATGCAGAAATAATTGACGATTGTCGTAAAACAATGGGTATCGTTTTCTAGTAAATTGAGTTATTCACATGCAGCACGATAAGATCCGGGAAACTTCAATGCGCCACAATATTCGCAAACAACGTTTATTGGCCCAATGCGAACGCTAGTAAGCAGAATCAGTCCTGCAGTCGAAACGCTGCTCGATTCAAATCAGTACGTGATAAATTTTCTCTTGTGCGTCGAAAACTATCAACAGGATTTCTGAGGTTTGCTCGACGATTTTGCTTCGCCAACTGAGCCGTTACGCGAGCTGTCTCTCTTTCCTCTTGTGATTAAGAAACACGAAGTCGAGCCATACTAACACGGCGCTCTTCACGTGCAATTTCTTGTTCTTCTTCATTCTTTTCGTTCGTAATGTTTCGAATCCTAGTTTCATTACGGCTTTGCCGTGAAACATTTGATCGTCTTGGTAGCGACATTGTTACTGATAATATAGGCACGATAAGATAATAAAAACTCGAAATAAACACATCAACCGATCAACTACAAATTGTTAAATTTTCAATCATACTTAACCATTTTTCGTTTTATATCACGTCCCACAGGATAAAAGTATCCTAAGTCCGTCTCTGGGTTCTAAGCTACCTCCCCACCAATTTTCAGCCAAATAGGTTCAGCCGTTTTTGAGTTATAATAGTGTAACTAACACGACTTTCTCTTGTATACATATATAGATTTAAGGAAGGATTGCTATAATTTTTATATCAGTAATATAATTTCCTCAGGATCAAACAAGGCATTATATAGGTATATATAAAATTCACGTGTCACAATGTTCGTTCCCATACTCCTCCGAAACGGCTCTACCGATTCTTATCAAATTTTTTATGCATATTCAGAAGTCTGAGAATCGGCTACTATCTATCTTTCAAACCCCTAAGTGATAAGGGCTGTCCACCCCAAAAAAATATTTTTGTTTTATTTTTTATGATGCATACAAAAATACATACAACCCCTAAATTTCACCCCTCTACGATCAACCTCTATTTTTATTATAGTAGATAGTTATTTTTATTGAACTAAAAAATGTTTCCTAGAAATAATATACATGGCAAAACAACGTTTGCCGGGTCAGCTAGTATATACTCGTATTTATAATAACAGTAGATATATTGTACTAATTAGTTTTTGCCTATATACAGCCCCAACTATGATTACAAACTTACATGACCAAAAATCGCGTTTAAAATATTATCTGCCTTTTTATAAAGATTTTAACGAAATTATCGTTTCTTACCAACTTATTATGTTCTATGCTCAACCCTCTATTCTTAGATACCTAGTAATTTGTTACTTCAATAAAAACATATTTAACAAAACATTTATTAAATTATTTATACTTATCTATACATATATACAATATAGACAGACCTAATTAACTATCACCAATTTTTTCTCTGAGAAATAAATAATGTTAAATAAAAACATAGAAACAATCAATCCTCTAAAGCTTTAGGCAGAGTTGTTCCGCAGGGTCCCTCAAAGTAATAATGAAAATCGGGTGTGGCTGGAGTTGTTTCTATATTAAATTCAGCTACTACGGCACCTCTGGCTGCTGCTTGTGGGGCAAACATAGCTGCTGGGTATACAACCGATGATGTGCCAACAACAAGACAGACATCACATCTGTCCATAGCTTGTTCTGAAAAGCATATAAGCAATACTTAAAAACACATGTTTAAGTAATGGGCCTGAGACATTATTTTTACACAAGTGTTCGGCTTAACCTGTATATAATATTGATTGAACTGAATAAATCAAATAATTTGATAATTTTAGAAATATGGCAACTTTTTTTATTTAAAATCAACTCTTATAAATAGGCATGAGTTATAATAATTATTCTTTACACATGTAAATAATTTCTAAGGCATAGAGCACTTAAAGCAAATTCAATAAATTTGATTGTATCTAAAATTAAGATCAGAAAGTCTTATAAAGTAAAATTACCAGCTTTCTTTAGCACAGCAGATTCCAGGCCTTCACCAAACCACACAATGTGAGGTCTAAGTAGACCTCCACAGTTACTTTTCTTGCAATGTGGTAATGATTTAACAGGTATATCAGAACCCACTACATTGGTATCTGGAGCTCCACGACCAGCTAATACCTGTCAAATATATAAAATTACATGTTTTTAACTAATACTCTATATTCTATAAGATACACATAAAAATGTATTTTTTTATTACAATGGGTGGTTTTATTGAGAAAAGTTGTGAAAAATGATAACCCAATACTTTAAAGAAATATGGCTATGTGGAACCAGCTGCCCAATGAAGTATTTTGGAACCAAGTCAACTTAGGGTCCTTCATGAAAATAACGTACTAACTATTTAACAATTTTCTTAAGAGGCCGGCAACCACTCTTGCGAGTTTTCTGGAAATATGAGCATACATGGGTGGCGGTTATCACTTAACATTAGGTGAGCCTCCTGCCCGTTTGCCTCCTACTGAATAAAAGAAACATTTTATTTTATTATCATAGTTTTATTTTTATATTGATTTTTTGTGATATTAATAATAACGGTTCTTTAGAACTTACCTCACAAATAGGGCTGTCAAAGTTCACAAGAACTTCTTTACATTTAGTACAGCGGGTTTTATACAGGTTACCATGTAACTCTATAAGATTTTTTGTGCCAGCTCTTGCATGCAAACCATCAACATTTTGTGTAATAATGGTAACATTTTTATCTGAACTATGGTTTGATTCATACTTAGCAATTGCCATATGACCCTGCAAAGAATTTTCCATTATATTAATGCAGTAGACAATATTCTATTTGGGAAAAACATGTGTATATATATTAAGTTTACACATGCTTTCTGCATGAATATCAAATATTCAAAGTAGTGTAACGTCTCTGGATAGTATAGATATATAGTAACGTCTGTAATAACAAGGTGTAAATCTAGAAAATTCAAATAATGCTACAGTTTTGTTTAGATCACCTTAAAAAACGTAAAACTTTGATTTCAGGTAATTCAAGACTATACAATGATCAATTATTAATTTAATATTAAATTAGCAACGAGTACAACACACACAGCGTTAGGTTGAGCTTTCGCAGCGACTTCTCGCCTGTAGTGGTAAAATTCCCAAACCAAACTTGGACTAGTTTGAAAGGCTTCTGGAGTCGCCAATGAGGATGCCTGGTATTTTCTCCAGAAACCACCAGCTCCTCGAAATGTTGGTATACCAGATTCGGCACTTATACCGGCACCAGAAAGTATCACAACATCTTTAGCTTGCTTTAAGCATTCTTTGAATTTTGCCAAATCACTTGACTGTCGCACAGCCATAACTTTTGCTTTAGAAACTAATAAACTATTTGTTAATCTTATTATACTAATTTGCATAATTAAAATGAATATTTTAACATAACTTAAATTCTAAAGAGTTTGAAAACATTAAGAAGTAATGTAAACATTTTACTGACTGATCACTGAGGTGAGAGTAGGGATGTGAAAAAATAATCGATTATTAAAAAAATCGATTTTTTTACGCGATTTTTATATTTAAAATAATCGATTAATAATCGATTATTTTTATAATTGAAAATCAGTCATAATCATTTGTCTGGTCTTTTATAACCCGGACCTTGAACTATTAGGGATATTCGATACACAACGATGTTTACAATGCGATACATTGAATCCGATTCATTGAAGATGTATTGATATACTCGATACATTGATTTTTTTTGTAAAACATCAAAAGGATGATAAAAGCAGTTAATTTTACAAAAACTATAGATTGAATGGATCACTATAATTTAAAAGTAAAATAAATTTATTCAGCAGCACAAGACTACATACAATTAAAAAGACAACAAAAATACTGCAATGTGCTACTGAAAAGGAATACACTCAGCATTTATCAAAATCTATCAAAACGAGATTAAGTTAATTTTGATTTTGATTATTCTCAAACGTTAATTTGTGTTTATAATTTCTATTGTTTATTTTTAATTTAAAAAACTATGAAAAATAAAATATTTAGGGTGTTTATTTTGAAATTATTCAAAAATTAGGAAAAAATCGATTAATAAAAAAAATCGATTATTTTTTTAAGACAAATCGATTATTTATCAATCGATTATTCATGCTACAAAAATAATCGATTAATAAAAAATCGATTTTTTATGCAGAATGTCACATCCCTAGGTGAGAGGTCTGAAATTGGAAATGACAATATAAAAAATATCAATCGTCAAATTTTTTTATTTTAACAACTAATTACAGACAACGAAATGCAAGTAGTTCGTAAATGTCAGATGTATTGACGTCTCACGTCAGGCGATTATAAAGTACAAACTTCGAATTTCGAAATATGTACATATATTCGTTTGCATGTTTATAGTAGTCGTTAGCTGAGTACAATTAAATAAATAATTCTTTTATATCGTTTGCGTATCATGCCTGTGTCATCAAGAAAATATAAAGTATAAAATCCTTAAATATTATTAAATTTATTTGGTAAATACGATACACCAATCATGATGGCAACAGGTACTTTGAATCAATACATTCAATATGTAGAGCGTATGTTTAGAACTGCTAATGGAGAAAACTTAGCCAGACTTCTTTCATTGAGAGACGACCATATAAATAATAAAAATCTTAGGTCAAGTGACATAGCCACACTCGTAGAAGGGAACTGTGTCGCACCGTTGGATGAGATTATAATTTACCATTTATGTTGTGTTCAGGTAAACGATTTTTCTTACTTTTAATAAACAGTCTAAATAAGCCTAAAATTTAGATGGTTATGCGAAATTTTTCAGGCTTTATCTGTCAAAGACTTTATAGAGGCATATCATCATCAAAGCCAGTGTGTCGCTGCTGTAGTTAGGTTACTACAAGCTCAGAAGGAAGAAAATTGGAGTCTTTCTCTCATGTATACAGTTTGTTTGGACTTACGCCTCGTCGCTCAGAAAGCAGAATTATGTGATGGTATAATTATTGGTAAACTAATCTTGTTTTTTTTTATCTATTGGCTAAGTTGGTCACATAGTTGATTTACTTAGAAAGCATTTGGTGCTGAGGTCCAAAATATATATAGATATGTTGAGCTTATTATCAATGTATTGCCAAACTGCTTATAACTCAATAATTGTGTCTACAGTTGCATGTTTTTATCAATTTACATCTCTATAGATATATACTAAAAATACAAGACCTATGTCTTGGTATCCGAGAGAAACATAATGTTGATACGAGTTGAATGATGAGGTTTGAATAAAAAAGCCTGTTCTTTTCTGTTTTCAGCACAAAGCAATGGAAAAATACTTGAAAAGGCTGCAGAAAGTTTGTTAGCATGTTTCCGTGTTTGTGCTGCAGATAACAGAACAGCAGATGAAGATACGAAGAGACTTGGAATGCTCAACCTTGTTAATCAATTACTTAAAGTATATTTTCGAATAAACAAACTGCACTTGTGCAAACCTCTTATAAGGGCAATAGATTCTTCACCATTTAAAGATCAATTTCCTCTAGCGCAACAAATCACATATAGATATTTCGTTGGCAGAAAAGCAATGTTTGACTCGGACTACAGATCTGCTGATGAATATTTATCATTCGCTTTCCAAAATTGCCATCATCAAAGCATAAAAAATAAGAGGCTTATATTAACATATTTGATCCCAGTTAAAATGCTTTTAGGGTTTATGCCAGCAAAGCGTTTGTTGCACAAGTATGACTTATTACAGTTTTGGGATCTAGTTACCACTGTAAAGAATGGTGATCTACGTGGAATTGATCATGTTATGGAAGAACATGAAAGTTTCTTCATAAGGGCTGGGATTTATTTAATTGTGGAGAAGTTAAAAATTACTGCATACAGAAATTTATTTAGAAAAGTCTATTTGGCTGAGAATACACATCAAATTGATATAGTGAGTTTTCAAGCTGCTTTACAGATTATGGGTCAAGTCGATGTTGACTCGGATGAGACACAGTGTATTGTCGCCAATTTGATATATGATGGAAAAATTAAAGGGTACATTTCGTATCAACATAAAAAAGTTGTTGTTAGTAAGCAAAATGCGTTTCCGCCATTGTCCAGTTTGTATTAAATAATTTTTTTACTTATGTCTTGTTTTTTAATAATTCACCTTAATTAAATTTAAAACATAAAAAATTAATTTAATTAAAGACATGTGTACATCAGAAAGCATATTACATATTATGATATTAACAGTTTAACACAACAGGTAGACAATATAAACTGAGAATGATTGCCATTTCACTGTGATTATTGACAGAGATGAAGAATTATTATTGTACCTTTCTAATCTGTAACTTTTGAAGCTTTTTTGAAGTCTAAATTATTCTGTCATATTTATTATTTACTAGTCAAGAGACGATTCCGTATTTATAAACTATTTCATAATTACAATTATTGTACTTTAGCTTTGTTCGCATTGGTTTTAAAAGATTGCGTACCTCTGAATTCTTTAAAACATGGCTACAGTCAAAAGGTAGCTTAGAAATGACACCCGAAACCGCGGCAGCTCCACAACTTTTATCAAACTTACCACCAGGCACTTCACATTGGCAATGGATATTTGGGATTATAGGTGTGTGAACATTAAATTATTAGTATATTCCTGTAAAAAGACAAGACTTTTTGTCTTTTTTTTTTATTTATTTATTTTTTTAGAACGGGGGGCAAACGGGCAGGAGGCTCACCTGATGTTAAGTGATACCGCCGCCCATGGACACTCTCAATGCCAGAGGGCTCGCGAGTGCGTTGCCGGCCTTTTAAGAATTGGTACGCTCTTTTCTTGAAGGACCCGAATTCGAATTGGTTCGGAAATACTTCAGTGGGCAGCTGATTCCACATAGTGGTGGCAAAAACTGCCTTGAAAAACGCTCAGTTGTGGAACGGCGGACGTCGAGGTGATACGGGTGGAATTTCGTATTCTGTCTCGACGTCCGATGATGAAACTCAGCTGCAGGTATTAATCTGAACAACTCCTCTGAACACTCTCCATGGTAAATGCGGTAGAAGATGCAAAGTGACCCCACATCTCTACGCAACGCCAAAGGATCAAGCCGCTCGGAGAGGGATTGGTCGTCGACGATTCGAACCGCTCTGCGTTGTATACGGTCAAGTGGAAGGAGCTGGTACTGGGGAGCCCCCGCCCAGAGGTGAGAGCAGTACTCCATGTGGAGTGGAGCCGAATTTGCGCTTTATATAGTTGCATGCGGTGGCCCGGAGTGAAGTACCGCCTCGCCTTGCTGAGCACACCAAGCTTTTTGGAGGCTAATTTAGCCTTTCCCTCCAAGTGACCGCGAAACTGAACGTCGTTCGATGTGTCAACGCCAAGTATTCCAATGCTGGCTGTGGCTTTAAGAAGAGTGTTTTCGAAAAGAGGAGTAGCGACAAAGGGTGTATTTTTAGCGGAAAACGCGCAAATTTTTTACAAACTCTTTTAGCCTCTAAATAAGCGGTTCTTGTTTCGAGTCGTGATATTATCTAAAGAGCACCGATTTTTAAGTGCCTGATGAAAGTATTAGGTAAATAATTTTTCAAAGACGTAATCATTTTCTACAAGGCACAAATATAAATAGTATATTTTAGGGAGTGCTCCATCTATGCTTTCATATCACTTGAAGTCCAATAAATAAGTTTTATTTCCATTCGACATAATAAATAATATGTATTTTTTTAGTTAGTTCATCGTTTATTTTATATGGCCTTGAGGCTGGCTGGATGTCTCCAATGTCCATAATATTCACGTCAGAAAATTCGCCTGTCGGCTATCCTCTGTCAAATTCGGCAATATCTTGGCTAGCAAGTATAGTTGCCTTTGTAGCCGCTTTTAGTGTGCCAATATTCGCACACTTAACAGATGATTATGGAAGGAAATGGGTCCTATTATTCGCTACTTTACCACAGATGGTAAGTTTTTTCTAGTAATATTATATTAACTATATTACACTGCTACTTTAAAACTGAAGTTCTCGAGAACGAGTTTTAAATTAAATTTTTACGTCTTTATGTCTAGTATTTAGATATGGTAAATATTCATAAATTGTAATTTATGACTATTAATTACGACTTTATTTTACACACATTCTGTAGTCGTACTTTTGCTTTCAGGCGTCTGTTCTCCTAAGAATATTTTTTCCGAATATAATTATCCTCTCCATTGCGCGTGCTTTATCTGGAATCTCTGCCAGTGGAGTGTTTGTTATAGTGACAGTGTACTTACGTGAAATAAGTCAGCATGACATAATAGCTGCCTTGGGATCTTTACCAGTTTTGATGCAGAATACAGGAGTATTTCTAATATATTTGATTGGCGCGTATCTCGATTATTTCACTGTACTATGGATAATGCTGGTATTTCCCGTGTCAATGATAATTTTGCTGTGGCAAATTCCAGAATCACCAGAATTTCTTGTTAAGGAAGGATTAATGGATGTAAGTGTTTATAGGAACAAATTAGTGGTTAAATGGGTAACTATATGAAAGATTTAATGATTCGAGTTGGCGGACTGATATATTAAGTCTTCTATAAAGCCTTAAGAATAAAGAACACCAAGGAATCTCACAAAGAGTTGCAAATATGATCGTATTGGATTTAGTGATATTTTTTGTATGACAACATTTAGGAGGCAAGATAATTAATAACACGAGTCTTTAATCGAAATTAAACAAAAAAAAATAGACATAAAAAATGTTTGCTTTTGCAGAAGACCGATTGAACAATATTTTTCAAACTGTGTTGTTTTCATTTTTAATTGAAGATGAAACCATTCAAACAACAAATTAAGTAGGGGAAGGTCGGGCCCTTCGTACGGTTTTCACATTTTATTTTTTTATTTTTCCATGAATCTATCATCTGATAGCTTAAATTTATAGTCTAACTATCTGAAATTCATATTAAAAAATGACAAATGACTTCATCTCATGTTTCAACCATAATTATGATTTAAAGTTTAAACTAAATCTGGAATACGTACGTATCTGCCCCATCAACGGGGCACCTTCGTACAGTGTTGGGGGTACCTTCGTACGCTGTGGGGTAGTTCCGTACGTACGATTAAAACGACACATATAAATCAAAATTCATTTATTAGCAATGAAATTAAACACAAAAATAAAGATTTAACTTTAACTATTGAACAAAAATAGAATACTTTTCTTATAGTGAACAAAAATTACATAGCTTTTCTTAAGTAAAACAAAATTTTTAAATTTAGAATCACATTTTTTAATCTTTGGTGCGGATTAGCACTTATTATTTTCGGGTGCGGCAGTATAAATTCGTGGTTGTCCTGGCCGTCGTCGTCATTTTGTTTGTTTTATTACTTTTTACATCATGGGTCGAAACGCTTCTGGTGTCAAAACTGACTTCGAAGAAACTACTATTTGATGGATTGGTAAATTATTCAAAGCATCTGTACCTGAACCTGAAGCAACTTTAATAAAGATAATAAAAATAGGTATTAATATATATTTACATCGACGATAGCAATGATATATGAATAGCAACACAGGACAAAGTTAATGCAAATATTAGCAATTAGCACACTAACACAATCTTTCCTACCTACCAGAGGGTTTAGTCAAGATGCCTTAACAGTAGTGTATGTAGCAAGTCAATAACTTAATTTGTATGAAAATGACAGTTCGTGTCGACAAAATATTTTCATACAAATTTAGTTGTACAATTCGTTCAAATCTGCCCCATCTAGTGCTGTCCGAAAGTACCCCACTAACTGAATAACAACAAAATATAACTTATTTTAATATTGTTACGAGCTAGGGGATCGGATAGAAACGCCGTAGATTTCTTCAAGGGTTTATTTTCAATTAAATCTACGAGGAATTTGTTAACACTAAAAAAACTGGAAATTACGCACAAAAATTCACTAAATAAACACACAAAATACTGTTACTAATTACTCTAATAACACGCACTTCACACAGTACTTGTATTCACTTTTCTTCACTATATTCGCACTTTGTCACTCCGGTGTTTATCGCTTGGTATCGCATTCAAAACTGAACTAATCGGTCGCGTTTCGGCTCGCTTATATATCCCTGGGAGCGATGTTCGAGAACTCTCTAGGCGGCAGTGCAACTGAGTAGCGATCGCACAATTCTAGAACGTGCGTACTAGCTATCTCTTTCGCACATTGCTCCGTCCTTGTCGTACGGCGTTCTAGAGTGCTCGGTCTAGCTTCGAGAAGGTTCCGATCTTCCTTCTCTCTCGCGTATCGTTCCACACCTAGAAAATTCGTTCTAGAACATTCCTTCGTCAAAGGGGTATAACCAGGCCTGAAAACGCCTGAATACGGGTTTCCTGAAAAGTGTACCATTCGACTACACGTGTTCTGAAACGACCTGAAAAAATGTTTCAGGCTCCTGAAAACTAGGGTAACATTATGTAAATTGCGATTTTCTAATATGTGATTGACCCTCCCCTGAAACGGTCAGAAATCACATTTCAGCCTGCTGAAAAGTTCTCTAAGTAGTGGAAAAATCTAAAAACATTGCAGTCGACCCGTCTTCGTAACACTACCCCTCCTTAGACATGCTCGTCTCGAGCATCATTACTTCCTTTATAGGGAGCCAATCGATTTATGTGAACGACTTTCGGTTTGCTTCTTAAACCACTCATTTTCTTTATCCGGTAAGTAACGTCATTAATCTTCGTGATTATCGTGTATGGACCATCCCAGTCAGCTTGAAGCTTTGGTGATTTGCCTTTGCGTTTTGTTGGATTATGGAGCCATACTTGCGAGCCTTCTTTAAATTGTATGCTTAAAGTGATGCTCGTACGTGTTCATGGATTTCATGCAGTTTATTACGCAAATCCGCAGCATATTCTGTAACACTCTCCGGGGTGTCAGGTGGTCGTCCCGTTACAATGTCTGCTGGTAATCTAAGTTGTCTCCCAAACATGGCTAAAGCAGGTGTAACATTCGTGGTTTCATGAACCGCAGACCGGTATGACATTAAAAATAATGGAATATACTTGTCCCAGTCTTTTTGATGGCTGTCCACCAGTTTTGCCAAGTGCCTTTCCAAGGTTTGATTAAAGCGTTCCACCATTCCATCTGACTGTGGGTGATATGGAGTAGTCCGCGTCTTATGAATTCCCATTAGTCGGCATACTTCTTGAAACAATAAAGACTCAAAATTTCTTCCCTGATCACTGTGAATCTCCAAGGGTACTCGAATCTAGAGAATACGTCATTTACAAGTATCTCAGCTACTGTAACTGCCTCTTGATTGGGAATAGCGAACACTTCGGGCCACTTCGTAAAGTAATCCATAACAACCATGATGTACTTATTTCCTTTTTCTGTTAACGGAAATGGTCCAGCTATGTCAACGGCTATCCTCTCCCATGGAGCTAAGACATTGTATTGCTTCATACCAGCTCTAGTTCTCGTCTGTGGGCCTTTGACTGCTGCACAAGCCTTACATTTCCGAATCCAGTCTTCCACATCTTCACGGCAATGTATCCAATAAAATCTCTCTTTAATTTTCAGAAGAGTCCTTTTTACGCCTAAGTGTCCGCCCGATGAGCCATCATGAAACATCTCCAAGATGTTGCGAACCTTGGATCTTGGCACAACTAACTGTAGATGAGAAGCATCCCCTCGAGTGTTTTCCCATTTGCGACATAACACTCCATTATGAAGAACTAAGCTATCCCATTGAGCCCAGTAACTCTTGGTCGTGGTGCTAGTAGATGCAACATCATTCCACCGCGGCTTGATAGCTGAAGATTTCATCCAGTCCAGAATTGGTTTAATGTCAGAATCTTGTTGTTGCTCTTCCTGAATTAATTTCCCACACCAATCGGGACTAATGGTGTCTGTCCTTAGTATCCTTACATGGGCTACCTCTCTACCTTCGTGTCTTGTACAATGTTTGCAATCCTCCTCACATGGCCTTCGAGACAATGCATCTGCGTTCCCGTGGGCTCTGCCCTTGCGATGTTCAGTAGCAAAGTCATACTCTTGCAGTTGTTCGATCCATCGAGCCACTTGTCCTTCCGGATTCTTGAACTGAAGTAGCCATTTTAATGCAGCATGTTCTGTCCTAAGACGGAACTTGCGACCTAGCAAGTATTTACTGAAGTGCTGCAGCGTCTTCACAACAGCCAGTAGTTCCCTCCGAGTGACACAGTAGTTCCGTTCTGGTTTCGACAATGACTTGCTGAAGTAGGCTATTACTTGCTCGTGCTCACCTTTTACTTGTGATAGTACACCTCCAATGCCAATTCCACTGGCATCTGTATCTACCACATATTCACCATCTTGATCCGGGTAGCCTAGTATTGGAGTCTCACACAGTCGGTTCTTGAGCTCATTAAACGCATCTTTACACTCTCCATCCCATGTGAATTTCCTCTTCTGTTCGGTGAGTCTGTGAAGTGGTTTTGCAATATCCGCGAAATTTCTCACAAATCTTCGGTAGTAAGAACATAAGCCTAAGAAAGCGCGGACTTCAGTTTTATCTTTAGGTACTGGCCAATCCTTCACCGCAACTATCTTCTCAGGGTCTGTTCGAACTCCATCCTCTGATATAATGTGCCCCAAGTAGCTCACTGCTCTCTTGAAAAATAAACATTTCTTTGCACTTAGTTTCAAGTTGGCTTTATGCAGTCTGGAGAGCACCCGTTGCAGATTTCGTATGTGATCATCAAAATCCTTCCCAATGATGACTACATCATCCAAGTACACTAAGCAGGCTTCTCCTATCAGTCCTGACAGTACTTTTTCCATAAGTCTTTCAAAGGTGGCAGGTGCATTGCAAAGCCCAAACGGCATAACTTTAAACTGCCATAGTCCTTTACCAGTTGAGAACGCTGTTTTCTCTTTATGACTTGAGTCTATTTCCACTTGCCAGTACCCACTTTTCAAGTCTAAAGTTGTAAACCATTTTGCCCCACTTAAGGTATCCAAGGTGTCATCTATTCTAGGTAACGGATAACTGTCCTTCTTCGTGATATCGTTAAGACGACGGTAGTCGATGCAGAACCTTAAACTGTTATCCTTTTTCTTGACTAAAACTACTGGAGAGCACCAAGGGCTGGAAGATGCTTCAATAACATTATGGTTTGACATTTCTGCAATCATCTTGTCTATATTCTTTTCATATGCGACAGGTACTCGTCGCGGTCTTAAACGTATAGGTGCTTCGGTTCCAGTCTCAATTCGATGTTTAACTACACCTGTCCTTCCTAGATCTCCATCGTGTGTAGCAAACATGTCAGAAAATGTTTTTAATAGTCCCTTTGCTTTCGACATTTCTTCTCTCGTCAAGGTTTCCTTACAGTCCTCAAGTATTGCTTTAACTATATCTCGTTGTTTACTAACTGTACCATCTTCAATGATAGCTCTATACACGTCGTACCCGTTCTTCAATGTGTTATCTTTTAGGGAAACTACTTCATCTCTACACTTTAATGTGCCGTTCTTCAGGTCAATCTTACAGTTGTAATGCTTCATGAAGTCTAAACCGATAATACAGTCATCCACGATGTCAGCAATAACCACCTCATGTCTTCCACCAATCTTGAAGGTTACCAATCTTAAGGCGATACCTTCTCCTCGAACGGTTATGTGCTGACCAGTAGCTGTAAGGAGCTGTACATTTCCACCAGAAAGGCTCTTGTAAAATGACTTCAGAAGTTGGTATCTGATTACTGTCCGGGAAGCTCCAGTATCAAGGGTTAACTCACACCTAGTGCCGTTAACTTCTCCGTCGATGACAATGGTATTCCCATCCTGAGTTTGAGAGATCATAACTTTTGGGGCCTTCCTTACAGAACCGGCCAGCACCCGCCCCGTGGTCCTGGCTTCTATTCGTTTCCCTGCCGCTGTTCAGCGGCAGTCACATCCACGTCATCGGGCTCCCCACGTCTTGTCTTCATTTCACCTCGGAGATCTCTCTTAGGGCATGAAAACCTCATATGCCCTACTTCCCCGCAGAGGTAACAGGTGGGTCCACGTTGGGAACTACGTTTTTCCGAGACAGCCCTAATGCGGTTAGGTCGAGAATCCTTGCAAAATGCTTCCACTTCCAACGCATGAGCGAGAGCATTCTTGAGGTCCTTATGGTGACCTAGGTTCACAGCCATTCGAATTTCACGGTCTCGAATACCGTCGACGAAGGCTTGAACCAACATCTTGTCTGCAACGTCTGGTGAGGATGCATAGGCTTTCCTAACCAGCTTCTCTATTTCACATCCCCATTTTTGCAAACTTTCATTTGTCTGTTGTATTCTATCCTTTAATTGAGCCCTATAGACGTGCTCTAAATGTGCGTCTCCGTACCGTGATTCTAGGGCATCCAGCAGTTGCTTCAACGTCACTTTACCTGTCTTGGTATCTAATATGGTGAGGGCTTCATCTCGCAGTCCCATAATAAGGGCGGTTACAGCCTGATCGTCATTCCACCCGTTTGACTCTGCCACAGTCTCAAACTGTATTTTGTACGCGCCCCAGGAAGATGTACCGTCAAAGGGAGGTACTTTCAGATTTCCAGATGGTGCTACAGTCGTTACGACACCTTTGGTCTTCAGGCACTGCATCTCTTGTTCTAATCCGAGAATACGTTTGTCCTGTTTCGAAAATTTGCAGTCCATATCAGATTCCAAGTTCTCGATTTTTTTATCTACTTCTTGTTTTAGGTCTCCTAATCTTTCTCCGATACGGCAAGCCTGTTCCTCCATCAAACGACGTGTCTGAGCCTGCTCTTCCACGATTTGGCGTGCCTGTTCCTCTTGACGGCGAGCCTGTTCCTCCATCAATCGCCGAACCTGTTCCTCCTGATGACGGGCCTGTTCCTCTTGACGTCGTGCCTGTTCTTCCATCATTTGTCGTGCCTGTTCCTCTTGACGACGTGCCTGTTCATCCATCATACGACGTGTCTGAGCCTGTTCTTCCATCATTTGGCGCAGGGCAAGGAGGATGTTGCTATCGTTGCTTTCGCCCATCCCGCGGTTCGCATCGAAACTTTGTCGCCGGGCGGCGTCACGTGCTGATTGTGCCCTTGTCTGCACTCCCTCCGCAGCTGGAGACTCGGCCACAAACTCCTCTTGATTCTCCCTCGGAGTAATTGGCATTTTTCTATCCCACTTCTGACACCAAAATGTTACGAGCTAGGGGATCGGATAGAAACGCCGTAGATTTCTTCAAGGGTTTATTTTCAATTAAATCTACGAGGAATTTGTTAACACTAAAAAAACTGGAAATCACGCACAAAAATTCACTAAATAAACACACAAAATACTGTTACTAATTACTCTAATAACACGCACTTCACACAGTACTTGTATTCACTTTTCTTCACTATATTCGCACTTTGTCACTCCGGTGTTTATCGCTTGGTATCGCATTCAAAACTGAACTAATCGGTCGCGTTTCGGCTCGCTTATATATCCCTGGGAGCGATGTTCGAGAACTCTCTAGGCGGCAGTGCAACTGAGTAGCGATCGCACAATTCTAGAACGTGCGTACTAGCTATCTCTTTCGCACATTGCTCCGTCCTTGTCGTACGGCGTTCTAGAGTGCTCGGTCTAGCTTCGAGAAGGTTCCGATCTTCCTTCTCTCTCGCGTATCGTTCCACACCTAGAAAATTCGTTCTAGAACATTCCTTCGTCAAAGGGGTATAACCAGGCCTGAAAACGCCTGAAAACGGGTTTCCTGAAAAGTGTACCATTCGACTACACGTGTTCTGAAACGACCTGAAAAAATGTTTCAGGCTCCTGAAAACTAGGGTAACATTATGTAAATTGCGATTTTCTAATATGTGATTGACCCTCCCCTGAAACGGTCAGAAATCACATTTCAGCCTGCTGAAAAGTTCTCTAAGTAGTGGAAAAATCTAAAAACATTGCAGTCGACCCGTCTTCGTAACAATATTAATAGGAAAACGTCATAAATTAAGTATTGGAGACGTATCTTAAGTATATTTTGCTAGTTACTGATAGAATACTCTACACGAAAACTTATTTTATCTACGGTAACAAGAGACAAAAACATTGATCAAAAAATTACTTACCGAGCGCGAAAACACGACCATGCCTGTAACTTCACTCTCATCGGTGCGAATTTCGCTAAACTTCGGTGATGTATAGTTGGTACCTCGACTCATCCACACATACAAAAACAAGACTGTACTTTGTTTCGTTCAAGTTTTATTTTGACTGTATGAATGTGCCCCGCGTATGCAGGGTAACGATCTTCCCCTATATAATTATACCTGATAGTTGTTTATCACTCGAGCGCCATCTAGCGGCACTATGTGTTCGTAAAACCACTATTATCGCGCGGTATTGTTGAATGTACATATTCTAATTATTTACTATTTAAAAAAAATGAGTAATAGTAATATAACTATTATAAAAGCGAACTATATACAACGAAAACGCAAAAGCAAACAAAGAAAGAGGTATTTTGATTTCGTTTTGTCTACAATTAATCGAAAAAACATAAAATAAACTAGGACGACTAACGATTTTTTTGAGTAATCAAACAAGGCCACATGCCTTCAAATATCACTTAAAATAAAGCTTTGCATATGCCAACACATATCCATATGGAAATGTCGGTTCTTGTGTTCATAAAATGTTAATACAATTAATTAAGCTTTAATTTTTAATTAATTTAAATTTAATTTTATATTCTTCAGCTTTATCAGTTTTTTTATTTTGTTGAACGCACTTATGATCAGGAACAGATTATTCAAATTATAAAGTCGTTTATACTGACTGAAGAATCCACGCATTTCGGAAGGGGACATGTATAATTTATGCCTTCACCACAATATCTGGTCACAGCTCGTTTATTATTATGTAAAAATACAGAAATTTACGTGACGGTGGAACATAAATTGGTTACCGTCCATCCAACAAAGCGTTGACATTCTAATACTTAAAAACAAAATGATTTGACTTAATTACTTTTAAAATTCAATCAAGGCATGATAATTGGGCTACAATTTTAGTGTTAGGTACAAAGTGCGGTTAGTAAACATTTATAATTAATTTGATCTAATCTAATATGGCATTGTACGAGTTTATAATACAGGTATTTCACCATCTTTCTTTTTTGACAATAAACTTAATGCTATTTAATATTGAGAGACTGGTGCTTGAAAAAGGTTGGGAAAACCTGTTATTACAAGTCACCATTTAAAAGAAGCTTGTGCTAGACAAACAAATTCTATCCAGTAACACAAAATATACTTTAAAATAATATGATTGGAATTGGTGTGTAGTATTTCATAGATTTACAGAAAGCTCATGATACTGTGGCGTTCCTGAGAGGTTTGAAACCGAATGACGAAAGAGTTAAAGCGGATGTTGAATTCCTTAAGCGGTTAGAAGATCAATTTGCACATTTGCCTAAAACTAACTTTTACCTTATCTGTAAGTATCAATCAACCGAAATTATCCGTGGTATATGGATATATATTTATATTTTATTGGATTAATGATTAAAATATATACATGGTGGCTAAAAAGTCGTTGATCAAACGCAAATAGGGGATAGATGAGGTCTTCAGCGGCTTCGAATTTTAACAAGAATTAGTAAAAAAAGTCAATTTTATTATAAAACACAAGATAAATTATAACTCTGCAGGGGTTGAACTTAGAGACCTCCTGTAGAACAATTTTTTGCAGCTGATGACCACATCTATCCCCTATTTGCGTTTGATCCACCCTGTATAATTAACACGACACCATAATTGGATTATTGTATCAGAAATAAATTGGTTTCTAAAGCCTACAGAATTTTGCGTCTTGCGTAAACCGAATTTTGCAATCTAGCCTCTGTAACAGTTAGATCTCGTAACGACCTATCTGGTCGCCAAACTCCAAAAAAGCACATTGTTTCTTTCCATTTTTCGTCATCGTCTCTTGAAGTAGGGCGAACGAAAAAAATATATGGTGGAGTTGAGTAATTTATGTATCCATTTTGAAAGATCGATATACGATTTAAATAACTTCGCTTGACAGAAAAAATTCCAAACATAGCCAATTTTTGACATTTTGAATTCATTTTATGACGAAAATGTATATAGAACATGATGTTGAAATTTACACGATATATTTTATCACAAAGCAAGTAATCCATTTCAGAAAAAAATTGGATACAATTACATTAATTTAATGTTTTACATAACTAATTGTTATTACGCGCCGGCGCGCGTCAGAGCTCCAGTACTCCACTGCGCACCGCAATCCACCCCGAGAGACTGACGCAATTCGTGCTGGGATAGGGCCTTAAGAAATATGAATATAATTTTTGGTTAAGAATAAACCTTACCCGTCTTCTTTCAGTTAAAGATAAAGTGTGGAGAAGAGCATTTGTATTAATTTTCGTTCTATTCACTTGTCATGCGTGGAACGGTTCAATGGTGATTGTGGCTTATGCGTCAACAATACTCCGCAGTGCAGAGCACGGCCATCTGAGTTTCATTCGACCTGAGTTACAATGTTTGTGCTTTCCAGTCGTGATGATAACAGCGTCCTTGTGCTTTGTATTCATAGCAGAGAAGATGGGAAGGCGGGTGCGTAGCGTAACACTATATACGAAGATATTATAAAAAAGCATTTGTCTAGTCTTTGGTTAACTAAAATGCCAAAAATTATATTCAAAAAAATTTGAAAATTCACAACATGATAGAGACTTTAGACAATTCAACGCCCGCCGTAGGTAATAGAATATATAAAATTGGATGGCTGTTTATTACTAGTTACGTACATTTTCGTAGACTTTTTTTTGTAGACGACATTGGTCTAGTGGTTAGTACCCCTGACTGCGAATCCATGGGTCCCGGGTTCGATCCCCGGCTGAGACGAACATCGATGTGATGAGCATTTGGTGTTGTGCTTAGGTCTTGGGTGTTCAAATATGTATTTAAATATATATATATCTATAATATGTATGTATATCCGTTGCCTAGTACCCATAACACAAGCTTCACCAGCTTAGCATGGGACTAGGTCAATTGGTGTGTATTGTCTTTAAAAAAATTTTTTTTAAGAAATGCTTAGTATGTATAAACTGACTCTAATACCAACAAACACTTTTTAAAGCTATCTTGCATGGTACCACTCTGTGGCCATCAAAGTGTTTCCGAACCAATTTCAGTTATAGAATTAGAGTTTATCTACTAAAACTTTCAGCAAAGTTACAATCAGTCTTCTAGCGATATGTGTCCCTCCAGGATGTGCCAATTAGGATCTGATGAATGATTATCATTCCGGGGTTATAACACTGAATACAATAAAACAATTTAACACATAATTTCAGCATCTCCAAGCGGTTGCCTATATAGTAACAGTTATAGCATTCACGGTGCTAGGTATAAGTTTGCTGCTAGAAGATATATACCAATCCATTGACAGTCCCCAATGGCTTCATGTTCTCTGTATGACGGCAACTGTTGCTATGTATTCGGGAGGTATCCGACCGTTGCCTAGCATAATTATAACTGAGATGTTCAGTTTTAAGGTGAGATACATGTTTGGCTTAAATACTTAATAATGTAATCTTCAAAACAAATTAATACATATTCGCCTCTTGTCAATGCCATTACCACAGTTTATAATTAAAAAAAACAAAAATGTAATAATTTGACAGACTTCAAAATGAAGTACGTATTAACGATGTATTATAACACAATCTGAATCTCGGCATAATCTGATTCTCGGCAAAATAACGATCATATTTATAAAGCATTACCCGCAACCCTGAGGTCGTGTGGTGCAATCACGGCTGTGCATCAAATATAAATGCAGAATGACCAGCGCCACGGAACAGTCCGCTCCTCAGCATGATGCTGAACCTTTAAAATATATTTTTTTATCTTTGATTCTTGTTTATATTTTTGTGATTATTGTTATTTTTTGTGTGTGTGTTCTGTTAGTAATAAATGTTATGTGTATATCTAAATAGTCGAAGCCAAAACCTTACTTTCTATGAGCGCACCCGCACCAATGATGAACAACATTGTGGTTACCTCACATGCCTTGGACCCAAAAATCACCCACAAGAAAAACATTGTTTTTATTTGAACTAGAAAATATGCAAACACGTGATATTACAAACAAATAAAATAAAAAAATATATATGAAAAGCTGTGCCGTCCTTACAATACGGACACGAATAGCGAAATCAAGTAGATTCAAAAAACAAAGAATTAAACTATTTGAATTAAGAATTGAATTATCGGCACTCAACTCTTAGCCGAGTCAACACCGAGTATTATATTATTGTATATTATACTAGCTGACCCGGCAAACGTTGTTTTGCCATTTTGCCATGTACTTATATTATTTCTAGCATTTTTTTAGTTTTAGTAGTAGAGGGGTGAAAATTAGGGGCAAAATTTTTGGGATGGACACCCCTTATCACTCAGACGTTTGAAAGATAGATAGTAGCCGATTCTCTGACTTACTGATTATGCATACAAAATTTCATAAGAATCTGTCCAGCCATTTCGGAGGAATGGGAACGAACATTGTGACACGAGAATTTTGTATATATGTTAATAGTATATTATGGTATATTATACGCAATTCTGTGAGCCAACAAAACAGCCTGTTTTGTTTAAAATTGGTCACTGAGCTGTTAATTATCTTGGATCTATTGATTTTAATTTTTACAAATGCTCCGTCATTATTTATGATAATATCTTTTCATATTATGCAAATTAGTATGAAAAATTGTCGCTTCATAATAACTCGATACATATTATGTGCTCATAAGCTATGTTCATTAACACAGCGATTAGACGTTTCCGGTCTTATATGAATTAACCTATTTTTTTTAAATTTTAACGAAATGTAGTAGGTATTAAATGTTTCATTGTTGCAGCGTCGATACTTTTTTTAGTATAATAAAAAGTATAAACAGCTTTCTATCTAGAAAAACATTATTGGTTTTTATTAGTATTAAAATAAATCAGTGGCGCTAGAACCTCTTTAGGCCTTGGCCTCAAATTCTGAGATCTGTTTCATGATCATTTTTAAATCTAATAGGCAAGTAGGTGATATGCCGTCGACTTTTTGGGGTCTAAGACATGTCGGTTTCCTTCACCGTTCGAGCAAATGTCAAGTGCGCTCATAGAATGAAAGTCCATTTGTGCACAGCCGGGGATCGAACCTACGACCTCAGGTATGAGAGTCGCACGCTGAAGCCACTAGACCAACACTGCTCCCTATTTTATTAGTATTATCTTTGACAATAGGTTTATATACCTACCCATAGCATGTGTCTTTCTTGTAGGTTCGAGCTAAAGTGATGGGTGTACTCACAACGTATGGATGGCTGGTGGTTTCCACACAACTATTCAGTTACGGTTTTATTGTCGACGTCATCGGTCTACCTTTAACGTTTCTTCTGTATGCTGTGGTAAATTTGATTGGAATGATATTCTCTCTACTTTTGCCAGAGACTAAGGGACGAACCCCGGAAGATATCAGAAATATATTTATGCATCACAATTCTCCGAAAAACTGAAACGAAATATAAGTCAACGAAATTGTGTATGCTATTGTGGTTGGAGAATTTTGTTATTGCAAGTAAACATTTTTAAGTATTTTGTCTGTGTTTTTTTTTATTTAATTTAACAGTTTATTAATACTTTAAAACCAGCTTAATTAAAAATTTTAAATAAAGAATATAGACGAACTGATTACGCATATACGTGTACAATACTCAAATATACGACGACCAAAGACAATGTACGAGTAATAATTTGAGGTGGTGAAGTGTGTACTTGAAGGTGAGGTGTGAACGTGCAATGTGTGATCTTAAAAATCGATTCGATTTGTTTATTTGGTTTAAAAATACGCGTTTGGAGATAATAAGGAATAAGACTCGCGTTCTCATTACAATACGTGTTAGTATATAGTGAACATAGTTACTACCAAAATAGAGGATATGAAACAGAAGAACTCAAACTCAACAGTAGAACTCAATAGAAGTCGTTAAGTTCTATAATTGGGTACATTTGCTGCTAACTGAGACGCTTGTTTTTTTAAGCCCAATGAAGGCAGCTAATGGAGAGATATTTTTTTAAAGGAAACTAGGTGATCAATAGCCTGTGCCTGACAACCATAATCAATCAGGATCTAAGAGTATGAGTATGGCATGTAAAATCTAATTCTTTACGTTTATAACCCACTTCGAAATAATTCTCGATTTTAGGGTAAGGAGTTCCAAAGAAATATTTTTTTTTTTTGTTCCATTTCCTTAACTTAATTTTTAGCGTTGGCTCACGTTATTTGGTTTTTTATTACGAAATTGGCCTTGAGAAAATAAAAAAATGAATTGAAAATGAAATGTTAAATATTTTTAATGCGGTATTATAACATTCCCAAGTATGCTAGAGTATCTATTTCTGAAAACGAGCAGCGTTGGTCTACTAGTATTAGCCTACGATTCTTATACTTCGTACAGGTCGTAGGTTCGATCCCCGCATTTAACACTAGTTCGTTCAGAAAAACATCGTGAGGCATCCCCCATGCCTTAGACCGAACGGCGTGTATTAGACACAGAAGACTGATCACCTACTAGCTTATTTTTTTATACTGAACAGGGCAAATGTTTGCCCGCAATCCCATCTAATGTCTAATAAGATGTCTATTGGAGAGCACGCTTGAATGAACCTATGATGTACTCTTTAGAAAGATGAAGTTGGCCAGGAGTTCCACTCCTTCGTTGTTTACACAAGAAACGACGATTCAAATCGTGTAGTACGGCACTTGGAGATGTCAACAAGGAAGTGGTGAAAGTCCAGCTTGCTTTTAGACGGCCGTAGTTTGAAAGGGGATGACGGACTCGGGTTGTGTAGTTCCAAGGTTTCAACTGTGTCCATCTTATGTTTAGACCAACCTGTTGTAAACTATTTTAATCTGATTATGTCTACAATAAATAAATAAAAAATAAAGATAAATAAGCATTTTCCAATACAATCTATATAGTACTGAGATGTCAGTTGCTGAACGGCGATTGTCGAGACTTAAGCGTTGAAATTCATCGAGTGAATCGTCGTCTATAATTGCTTATGTCACCTGTCAAGGGTCAATAGCATCCCAGGCACCCATATGACACATGGAATCACCGGCCCAGAGTTGACTGCAGTACTCCAGACATGAACGCACTTGAGGTTGATAAAGATAAAAATACGCATCTTCTTCCAGTCCGCCGACCTGTATCTTCACACTCTCCTCCTACCCTTAAGTTTCTGACCAGACGGGGAATATAAGATGTTCCAAGTAGGGCAGAAAGAGACCACGTACCGGCCTGTGTGATCTGTCTTCTCATATCGAAATAACCATTGCGAATGGTGTGCAACAACAAGCTCAGCGGTTGGATATCTTAGTTACAATCGGCCGCATCGATAAGCAAAAAGACTTGTCGTTTCACATTCAACCGTGTGCGATGGGTACACACAACCATACATAAACCGGCCGGCCAGCGGTAAACCATTTTTCAGACTACAATAAAGGGTACCGGCCCTATCCTCAAATACAGTGGTTCTTGTTGGTTTTTCACGGCTACAGTGGCTACATCTAACTCACGAACACGACTAGCCATACAATTGCAGGACAGCCGGATTGGCGGCATGGCTGGTCTGGTAATGGGTTATAACCCTCAACTGTTAGGCCTCCTACCCTATAGCTTTCAAACAAGCTCGACTTTATACAGCTTTCCTCATTAGTGGATTTGGTTTTGAGGCGCAGAATATTCACTTTTTGCCCTGCATCCTCAGCTGTGATCCAGCTCTAGGTAGTAGGCACGTGGCTGCAGCAGGTTCTAGGAGGTCAACTAGGCTATGGATGGCGCGGACTAGCTGGGGTCCTGCTGACAATAGTGTTCCACTACATAAAACAACATATGGACACTTGTCTTTGTCTAGGTAATGCCATGTCAGGCCATCAGCAATTCTCACCAAGTCCATGAGTGGGAAGTCCCAACCCAAAGAAAATGATCACAAAACCGGTACAGAGGCCCAGACCTAGAAGGTCGTAGTGCCATTGGTTTTGTTGATGATAATTTAGGTATGATTATTATTTTAATGGTCTGCCCAGTGTTCCAAAATTGCGTGATTAAATGAATAAAAATAAACGTAATTGCCAATTCGCTTCGATGAGAATTTTTGTGCTGTGATCACCTAACCAAGGTATAGATAACTAAGAGTAAGTAAGAGTATACCATAGATATAATATTGATAAAAAAAAATATTTTAATAAACAAAATCGTCAAGAATGCACAACTAAAGTTCAAAGGGGCTGTTTTTTATGATAATTTTTTATTATCATCACATTCACGACGGAGAGGGCCCGCGAGTGCGTTGCCGGTCTTTTGAGATTTGGTACGTTCTTTTCTTGAAGGAATTGGTTTGGAAACACTTCAGTAGAAGTTGGTTCCATATAGCGATTGTGAGCGACAAAAATTTAACTTCCCTGTGTAAAGTGTTCAACTATACTTTATTTTTAATTAAAACTAGACTTCCGCAGTTCCACGTTCATACAGATGCGTCATATTGAATACCCTTGGCTTATGTATCGTGTCTATCATTATATTTTTCTCAATAATACTTCATTTTTATTTCTCGAGAATTATATTGGCGTGTTAGTTAGTTACAAAGACCACATTTTAAAGAATTATATCAGTTATGCTTTTACTGTTACTCCACTTGGATGGTTGGCAACTGAGCATTTCTTCTTTTGTAACCCAATTAGTCGAACGGGACGTTCAAAAATCAGTCATCGTATCCCATGGCCACTCATTTTAGTAGGTGCTTTTAAGGAGTATTGTCCTTTTTGGCGGAAGGGATCTTGCAAAATAATCACGAAATAGATATAAAAATAGAAAATGCAATAGTGTAATTTTTTTTAAATATATTTAATATATAACTTGTTCTTTGATATATATCTTATATATTATATAATATATATAATATGATTAAGTTTACTTTGTTCTTTTGCAAGAAATAAAAAGGTTTTTTTTATTTTATTTTTTTGGTCTTTTTAAGATTCAATGAATTTTAATAATTTTTAAAGCGGAACCCAAAAAAGTTTTTAATTACAATAGGTAAATTTGAATTTTTTTTATGTGAGTTGTAACAGTTTTACACGTGTTTTTGGAAAAAAGGGTTATTATTGTGAAAGACAGTTGCAAAAATGGTAGTGAGCTCGCAATATAATCTACAAGATACTGGACACACGCGATGGCAATGGACATATTCGTGTATTGGTAATAATTGTAGTATTCGTAATTAATTATAATAATATGATAAATTTAACGATACATTCAATTGTTGGTGTAAAAAATGGTTACAAATCTAAAGTCCTTTTGTCTATAATTTATTAATTACTTGAAAATGAAACTTATAAAATAAAATTAATTATCTAATTGTATTTGCAGTTACGCTAGAATTATAACTATGATAGTTATATTGTCATTGTATTGTATTGTATTCAAGGTCGCATTTGAGTTAAATTAAAAACCGATACCCGTGTAAAATAATACTAGATTTTTGCAAAAATATCTCATCAATATACTAATATAATATTAAAAAGTAATAATGAGACAATCTTGCTAGAAGAAGTCGTCTTACCATTTCAGTGAGCCTTGGCTTTATAATATACGGTATGGAATCTGGCTGGTTATCGCCCTTAATAGAAGAGTTGCAGTCACAAAATTCTCCCTTGGGAGCTCCAGTCTCGGACATGGTGGTATCATGGTGGGCAACTATAATCCCGCTTTGTGGAGCATTTGTTGTGCCCATATGCACATACTTAGCTGACACTTTTGGGAGGAAACTATCTATCATGGCAGTTATTTTGCCTGAAATAGTAAGTTTTTTTATAAGAGAATAAATTAAACATCGTCATATATTACTTCCATTCTTGGCGAATCCTTTAAGGTCTCTGCTTTTCGCTTAGCTCCTTCTCTATCTTCATGTAATTCTCTACTGTACAAACATTAACTGTCCACATCGTATCCATAACTTTCGTAATAACTGATGTGAAACTGATCTAAAATTATAGTGATTCATGTGCACTTTTTCAGTTTTTTATGTTCCTATTTTAGTTTTGTCTAGATAGCTATATGTATTATGTATTTTGCACATCTTGTTTACTTTATATATTGTACTCAAATTATGTTTCTGCTCTAGTGTTAATAAATAAATAAAATAATATGTTCTAGAATACAACTTTTCAGTTTCGAAATTCAAAACGAAACCCACATTGATACTTTTGGCAATCTTTACCCGTCATTATAATAACGATTTCAAATTTAATACTGAGTTTTCATATCACATATTTCCATGTTTTTGACATCAGAGCTACATAAAAATATTTATTCAAACTTGGAACTATTCATTAAATATCGGCATCGTTATTGTAATGCAGCAGTGAGCAGTGTTGGCCTAGTGACTTCAACGTGCGACTCTCATACCTGAGGTCGTAGATTCAAACCCCGGCTGTGCACCAATGGACTTTCTTTCTATGTGGGCATTTGACATTTGCTCGAACGGTGAAGGAAAACGTCGTGGGGAATACGACATGTCTTAGACCCAAAAAGTCGACGGCGTGAGGCACTGGCGGCTGATCACCTACTTGCCTATTAGATTTAAAAATGATCATGAAACAGATTCAGAGATCTGATTAATACCAATTATCAATTACAGAATAGACTTACAATGGAAGTGCTGAAAGTTTCGCTCCGTCTAAAGTCCTTCCAGCGTTGCTAATGTAATTTACATAGGCGCTAGATTCTTATGTTACTAATAGGCTGTCCCGGCTGGAATTAAAAATTGTTATGAAAGTTATTTATTCTCTCAAGTGTATTGTGGTAAAATTATTTTTGAAGTCCAGCTTCTAGATAGTTGAGTTTGTTACGAATAGTTATATCCTCTAAATATTACAATATTATTAGAGTATACATTTTTTCCAGGTGTCAATCATTATAAGGCTTGCTCGTCCTACAGTGGTTTCAGTTACCATCTCTAGAATATTCTGCAGCTTCTCTGCTGCAGGCTTCTTCGCCATTATACCCGTTTATATCAGAGAAATTAGTCAGGAACATATAACAGGATCCCTTGGGTCATTAACAATGCTTTCACAAAATATTGGTATCCTAGTAATTTATTTGATTGGTGCATTTTTTGATTATTTTTATATATTATGTTTTTTTCTACCCATTACGATTGCGATGTTATTGTTAATGATAAAGGCACCTGAATCTCCGGCATACCTTGTGAAACGAATGAAGATATCTGTAAGTATATTTTTTTTTAAATGGCTCTGGCACGATTTGTGCATTAGCCAGCGTCAAGTATAGGATTTTTTTATAATTCGTGCTTGTCTTTAGAAAACCCTCCCAAAGGTCGAGAACAAATTTTAATTAAATTAAAACTTGCCCTCGAACCGGGAATCGAACCCGGTACCGTTCACCTAGCTGCCACTTAATAAGACCGCTAGGCTATGAGGCCCCCAATTGAGTATTTTATGTATATATTTTATTAGTAATAATAATAAACAAATATACAGTATTTACAATTTTCTTAACCTACATAGTAATAATAAAAAATAAAAAAAAGTTTGGTCCCTGTGACAGTATACCTCTAACCTTTAGTATTTTATTACTATGTATTGTCTTTTTACAATGACTGTGATGATCAATATTTATTTATATAGTTACAATAGTATTTTATTTAGTTTCATAATCGGACGTCAACGCAGAATACAAAATACCATCCGTATCACCTTGACGTCCGTCGTTCCACAACTAAGCGATTCTTAAAGCTGTCTACACACCGCAGCCGCCGGCCCGCCGCCACGAACCCGGCGGGTTAATGCCGGCGGGTGAACCCGGCGGCTTTAGAAGTTGCGAGCCTGACAATTTTCCCGGCGGCACGACATACAGTCGCGGCATGCAGTGTTCACAATTAGTGATTGCCAAGTGCTTGCTAGTGACTTGTTAAATTTTTTATTTTTCTCTCCACTTTATTAACGGATTCCATAATGTTTAGTGGATAAAAACACTGACGCGTCACTATTTCTTAAAAGCCGGTGGGCAACCGGTGGTGAAGAGCGGAGAGGGGCGTGCCGCGGGGAAGATCGCGCGGGCGCAAGCCGCCGGCAACATCGTTAAAACTAAGGCCGCCGGCCTTGCCCGCCGGGTTCGTGCCGGCGGGCCGGCGGCTGCGGTGTGTAGACAGCTTTAGGCAAGTTCAGCCGCGGAACCAGCTGCCCACTGTAGTATTTCCGAACCAATTCGACTTAGGGTCCTTCAAGAAAAGAGCGTACCAATTCTTAAAAGGCCGGCAAGGACAAAAAAATAACTTGGCTTATTGAAGAGTTAGTAAATAAGTGACACTTATGTTATCGGACATTATCGGAAACGAGAATGTTAAATTACAGTTAGCTCATATTAGCTTCAAGTGTGCGATGATTGCTTACAGGAAATTTGATCAAGATGTTTGCCGGTATCTATAATTCTCGTATTAATTTTTTACCTTCTTATTGTTTAGGAAGCATATGAAACTGTTGCCTTTTTAAGAGGTTTAAAGATTAATGACGAGAGAGTGGTTCGAGCGGTGCAATATATGCAAAAACAAGAGGATGAATTTAAGTCTTTACCCAAAATTGGAATATTTTCCATACGTAAGTTTGTTTCTAAAATTGTTCTTTTAACTTGTTCTTTAATGTAAATGTAAATAGTTGTCTTTGCAGTATCATCTTTTTGACAATTACAATAAGTATTCAATTTTTTTCCTGATAATCTAATATTCTGTATTTAAACCAAAGAAAACGAAAAATATTCATCGATATTTCTATGAAACAAGTTAAATGATTTTTTTTTGTTTAGCTATAGCTTTTGGGTCTAAAAGTTAGTGCTAGTAGGCGCCACTCTCAACCTTAAGATAGTGTGTTCGAACCCTGGCTGTCCACCGTTTCTATGTGCACGTTTGAAATTGATCATAGCTTGCAGGAAAACATTTTGTGATGAAGTTATGTTTTGCAGTGAAAGACAAACCACTTCGTCGTGGTTTTATTCTGCTAATTATGGTATTCACGACGCAAGCGCTGAGCGGTGGCTTTGCCATAATAACGTATGCATCTGTTATTTTGACCTCTATGGGAACCGAGCCAGCTGTCAACCCCGAATTGCAATCAATCAGTTTGCCAATCGTAATGATCATAGCGTCATTAATGTTGACAATTATTGCTGAGAAATTCGGTAGACGGGTAATTATAATATAATTTTTCTTAATAAAAAAAATGGTGCGTGTACTTATGTACGCGCGTAAGAAGTTATACTTCTTTGGCTTTCTTTATTTTTTTTAAATATTAAATAATTAATAATAAATATTTAGCGTTAATAATTTAACAATATTTAATATTTAGTATATTATTCAAGAATTAATTAATATTAATAATAATAATTATTTATTATTTTATTATATTATTAATTCAATTTAATAACTAGGTATGTTTCGTAACAATAGGTCTTTGTGAAAAAGCATTGCTAAATTTCTTTAAAAAATAATTAAAACTCCTTTATTTGTTTAAAAGGTACTACAAATGTCATTATGGTCATTCAAAATTCTTGGCATAGCTGCTAACGTCACGCATATTCTATTTATTTTTACTTGTAGATTGTCTTATTCCCATCTCGCTCGCGCACGCTCGGCACCCATACTGATAATTTTATGTCACGGTGCGCGCGCATCGTAAAATTTCACTCTCATAAATTTTTCATAACGCGCCTAAAGAAGTATAACTTCAAAAATAGCTTTAATTGCCTTGTATGAAAAAGAGTCTTTAAAATTTGAAATGTAATCTAAAACAACCACCTATGCTGTCCTGTGGCTAGTATATTCGAGTAAAAATCAGAAGATCTCAGGTTCGAATTCCGGGGCCAAAAATATAGAGTCGGGTTAATGAAAGAAGATAATTGAATTATTTGAAAACTTTCGGATGGCAACACAGAATGTCATTGAATTGCTTAGGTTAGTATGGTTTATTGTCTTGATACTTCATGCAATTACTCATTTTTATTTTTATTATATGTTTTTTCCGAATAGTTAACAGGTATAAATAGCCTAAACTTTGTTTTATTTGATAGAATATTTCGTTTCTTTCGCAGGATTTGATTATTCAGAATAAAGTTGTGTTTTATAATAAACATAGTTTTAGTTTTCCATGCAATGCTAGTCATTTTAAGTTTCAATAATAAAAACTAAATACGTATAGTATTTAATTTCATAGAAATACAGTAATTCCTATCAATGTACAAAATAATAAAATAAAATCAAGTATCAAGTAAGTTTAATCCACAAAATATATCAAACTTTTAGGGATACCATGCTGTTTTTTTTTAATATGCCGCGCTTTTTCGTTATCTTCTTTCATTAGCCAGACTCTAGTAATAATATTTTTCAATAAAAAAATGTTAGCCTAATTGGAACTTGTTATATTTCATGTGTGTTAATTATTCTCATGAGGAACAACGGTGGCACGGGAATATTAAAAGCATGAAGCGTCGAATCGGCTATCATTCCCCAATCATGAATTTTCAGACTTTGCAAGCGAGTGGGTACTCAATATCAGCGATAACATTCACAATATTGGCTACGTTTATTCTCCTACAAGACTATGGCTATGCCACTCCCAGATGGCTGCCTATTGGATGCATGGTCACGATTGTTGCTATGTACGCAGGCACTATTCGGCCTTTGCCATTCATAGTTGCTGCGGAATTACTGCATTTCAGAGTAAGTCAATTAATACACTTATATAACAGATGATAGTAATATTCTAGTGGCGCCACAGTTTTATAGAGTCTGGCTAATGAAAGAAGATAATTGAATTGTTTGAAAACTTTCGGATTGGAACACAGAATGTCAATGAATTTCTTAGGGTAGTATGATTTATTGTCTTGATACTTCATGCAATTACTCATTTTATATCTATTATATATTTTTTCCGAATAGTTAACAGGTATAAATAGCCTAAACTTTGTTTTATTTGATATAATATTTAGTTTCTTTCGCAGCATTTGATTATTCCAAATAAAGTTGTGTTTTATAATAAATATAGTTTTAGTTTTCCATGCAATGCTAGTCATTTTCAAATATCAATAGTAACAGACTAAATACATATAGTATTTTATTTCATAGAAATACAGTTACTAGATATCAATATAAAAAAATGGTGCGTGTACTTATGTACGCGCGTAAGAAGTTATACTTCTTTGGCTTTCTTTATTTTTTTTAAAATAATAAATATATAACGTTCATAATTTAATAATATTTAATATATTATTCAATTATTAATTAATATTATTAATAATAATTATTATTATTTTATTATATTATTCATTCAATTTAATAACTAGGTTTGTTTCATAATCTTTTAACTAAATAACAATTGGTCTTTGTGAATAAGCATTGCTAAATTTGTTTGAAAAAAACAATTAAAACTCCTTTATTTGTTTAAAAGGTATACTACAAAGGTCATCATTCAAAATTCTTGGCATAGCTGCTAACTTCACGCATATTCTATTTCTTTTTACTTGTAGATTGTCTTATTCCCATCTCACTCGCGCACGCTATAATCACACTGATAATTTTGTGTCTCAGGTGCGCGCGCATCGTAAAATTTCACTCTCAAAAATTTTTCATAACGCGCCTAAAGAAGTATAACTTCAAAAATAATAAAATAAAATCAAGTATCAAGTAAGTTTAATCCACAATTTTTTTTTAATTTGCCGCGCTTTTTCGTTATCTTCTTTCATTAGCCAGATTCTTTTTACTTTTATTATTTTATAAGTGTGCCCATTCGTGTACCTGACGAATGCCAATTTCAAGACTTAGGCCATTTCTTATCTGTTTAACAAATACCATAGAGTTTGAATACTTGCACGTTGGATTTTTAATGTTTATTAACTGACTTTAGTTTTGTACCAATATTACGAGCTATGCTGTTTCCCACTAGCAAATCAGGATGACACTTATTTTAAAATCGCAATACCTTCGACTGCACATAGCGTAAACAAAAGAGAAACGTTAAATGAATAAACAATTATTTGATAACACAAGAAGTATTTTAACAATATACTTTACCTTCTGTTACAATGTAAAAAACATTTTAATAAATTTTTAAAATTTTATAGGTACGTGCAAAATTAATGGGCGTGTTAGCAATGTTAATTGGGCTGATGAATTCTGTTCATCTCTTTTCGTATATCCCATTGAAAACTTATCTCGGTCTGTCAGCAACATTGATGATATTTGGGATATGCAATGTTTTTGGAATATTATTCTCCTTACTTCTACCGGAAACAAAAGGGAAGACAGATGAAGAAATAAGAACACTGATCGAACGTCAAATGAAATGAATAAAGAAAATTAAAAATATACAATTTATGACATTTTGGAAGTCGTATGTTATGTGGTAATTTTATACCAACTGGAGGGAATGTGCGAATCCTAGAGACAGTTATTTGCCATATTTGTCCGTTGTTAGTTGTTTTGATTTGTACGGCTGCGACGCGAATTATAAATGATTTGATAGAACAGTAAAACTCATACCAATTTTTTTTTAATATTGGTAATAAGTACCAACCCAAAATATTAAACTGATGCTATTCATGTTGCACCCATATCTTATAACACGGCTTGATCCGTAGTATGTAACGTTGCCCACGAACATTTATTTTAAAGACTGGTGGTTTAACAGTCTGTTTATTTTAGTTTTAGAGTTTATTTCCAGTACTTCTCGGTTCTACGCCCTTGATTTAAGAACTGTCAGTAAATTTAGAAGTATTTAACTTTCTTTAAATTAATCCTATCGACGTTTATAAATGTATAAATTGTGTGACGTTTCAAGGTCGATTTACACCAAACGAACATAGAGCTAGAGCTAGAACACAAGAACGCTTTGAAAAGACCGCTCAGTGGCGCGAGCACGTCCGAACACGCTAGAACGCTCTAAGCAACTGTTCGCGCGCTCTTGCGCCGTTTACATCAAGCGAACGAGCATTCTTAGAATATTCTATAGAATCTTTGCGAACACACTAAGAACAACGAAAGAATGCTCTACGCCTGTTTATACTAGAAGAATTTGATGTAGTGGGGATAGAATGAGCATTCGCTCGTTTGATGTAAATCGACCTTTATTATACAATTTTATTTATTTATTTTTCTCACAAAAACTTAAACTTAGAACATAGGCAAGTGACAGTTATATTGCTAGACTATTAATTTAGTGCGTTGCGTTGACTTGAAATTAAAACACAGGATACATATTTGTGAAATGACAGAAATCAGATGATTGGACTGACTGACGCCTTTAACACGTTCACTGCGTAACAGGCCGATATCGGCCTGCCGCGGTATTTCAGCTGGTGCGGACGAAGAAATCTATGTCCCTCTCGCTGGTGCGTAACGATTATCTCAGGTGTTTGTAAAAATTCGACAGGGACAAATATATATTTCATCTTGCGGTCAAAATTGTAGGTGTTCCCCATCAAAACATAACGGCAGGCTTTTATCGACCTACCACGCACTGACGCTGCTGTGCATCCACTGAGAGTTAATCTATCCTAGTGCTGTTGGGTCTAGAAAGACCTGCCACGCACTGGCGGAAATATCATTGGGGGCGCATTTTGGCCCGCCGCCGCACCTGATGAAGAATTATGATTTTACTTGCCGCAGTGAACGTGTTAAATTATTCTAGGAATAGCTGTTATTCCGTGCGAAACGGCGGTATAGTATCAATTCCCGAATAGGCCCAATGTTCTTAGAATTTGTAGATGGTAAAACGTAAAATTGATTTATTCTCGATTAACTGACGATAACGACTAAGCTTAAGATTTACTCTTGTTTGGTCGAATCCACCCTAAGTGATATTTTGATTGATTGGGCATATTAATATCTGTGTTTAGGAGGATTTTGCGGCGTCGTAACTTTGGTGTTTGACTACGACGTATTATATACTGAGTATATGTATTATGTAGTCTAGTGTTACAGTAAATTGAACATGTTTGTTTATATTAGTAGAAAGTGAATAGGTACTGTATAAATTTAAATAAAATTATTATATAGTATACTCCTTTAGCTTAAGTTAATAATAATTAAGTTGTGGTATAGGGCCTTATAAGTGTTGGCCCCATATTCTATAAACATGTTGACTGCTTTGTACAGTTAAAATTATATGGTAGGTCTCGGGACTTAAGTCTTTGCGGACCTAAAAATTACTTTTCCGCATAAAATTTACCAAGATTTATAAATAAAACGCAAATGACATCAAATCTTTTTTACTAAATCCATAATACAATTCAAAGAATATTACAAATATATTAAATTTTGCAGATCACTAATGCAGCTTATACCAAATTACAATTTACAAGTCTTAATATGTCTGATCGTGACTTTCTTAAATATATAGGACTATTTGCAAAATATCGGTTATAGGAAAACTAAAAGTATGAAAAGTATACCGTACTAAGAGTTGTCCAGTAAATTATGATTGGGACTGTGCCTGTAAAGCACTCGAAACTTCGACTTATGTGAATAATGTAAATGGTTGTTTAAACCTCATACTCGCAGAAACAAATGACTATAGTGACTAAATATTAATAAAATATCGACTCTTAGTACGGATGAGTAGAAGGTTAATCTATAAAAAAGATATTGTCGGGTATGTAGAGCCTATCGAAGAACACGAATGAACCTATGTTTAAGAATGATTGAAGGGGGAGTTTCACTCCTTTGCTGTTAACCAATCACAACCAAACGAAACCCTTTTACGTTTGCTAGATTTTTTTTAAATAGTTGACAAAATTACCATGCGTTTTACTATTCTAAAATCATATAGAATATATTTATAATTTCTATTAATGAAGGGTTTAGTTTATTCACGATCAAATTGTAACATTCTAAACACGATATTTTGCATTATTATGTGATATTTTGATGATATCAAAGAGATATAGCGATTATAATTATAATATCTAGATACTGAGATATTCCTACATACATCGTAAAATTTATCTACTATGACATACACAAGAAATATTTGGGTAAATAGTTATTAGAATATGTCACCACCTACTGTCATGTGGTACTCTGTGGGATTCTTTTCAGGTACAATATATGTTTTGTAGGAAAGGCGAATATAAGCTTGAGCGAGGAAATATAATACAACAGTATGGTTGATAGTTTATAAAAGTTTCAAGAATCCTCAATTTTACAGATTGCCAATAGAGGGCGCTATTCTTTGTTTTAAATAATATATAGTACAGAATTTGATTTATTAGAGTTCCATAATTATTTAAATATATACTTTCACTGCTTCAAAGCAGGACAGAACTCCACAATCTAAATATAATTTGGCTATATTAAAAAGAAAGTATTTTTTTTTTGACAAAAAAATACTAATTAAATGTATAATTAATTTTTGTTTGTTAAGCCAACTATTTATAATATAACCGTGTATGATTAGAAATACAGAAAATGATGTTTAACTGTGGATTGGTGTTAAATCTGACGCATAATTAAAAAAAAAATCAAAGAAAATTATAACAAACATACAATTGAAGAAAATACTTTTTAACCGGATTAAAGTTATGTATTATTATAAATTTACAATTATTTAACATAATTTTAAATTTATCCTACGTGCGTGCTTTACAGCGTGCGTGGTCACGGTGACTGAAGACAAAAGGTGTTGGATGTCAAAAAGTATCACAGCTATAGAGAAAGTTGCATTATCTGTATTTATTTCCCCGGAGTTGGTATCGACTAAAAGATGGAGGGTTTTGGAAAAAATGGCTCACGGTGTCCTCTATTTTCGTTATACATAATTGTAAATTTATAATAATACATAACTTCAATCCTGTTTAAATAGTTTTTTCTTTAAATGTGTAAATATTATGTCAATAAAAGACAATACTAAACTTACAATTGTTATTACTTACTGAATAGTTAAAGTATTAAAAATATAAAATAACTCGGTGTTTATATAAAAATAACAATTTAACGACTTAGACAAAGTTATAATTCAATTTGTTTTTTATTAATATACAAAATCGTAAATGTCAAAGATACAACCTAAAGTGATTGGAAATTTTAAGAATGCATCAGAATTAACACGAATATAAATTAATGGATTGAACAAAACATTGGTCCGAAATAGGGGTATTTGAGCGGTAAGAATGTTATTATGAAGCTTAATGATGGGGAGGTCCCTTTAGCAGTTCGTGTTTGTAGGCAGAAAGAATGGCCCGATTCATGGCCGTGGATGGTGTGCTTTCGCCAAATTGTCGCATAATTCTGTAATATCAATGAAAATATTAAATAGTTATAGAAAAACACTTTTTTAACGGATTTGAAGTTATGTTTTTTTATAAATTTACAATTATTTTACACGTGACCACGCACGCCGTAAAGCACGCGAAACGTCGGTTAAATTTAAAATTATGTAAAATAATTGTAAATTTATAGTAAAACATAACTTCAAATCCGTTAAAAAAGTGTTTTTCTATGTCTAAAAGTTATGTCAATAAAAGACAATACTATATTAAATAGTTATATGGAAAAGTTTGTAACTCCCAATAGTAAGAAACTATCTTTATAAAATAAAAAAAATAATTGGGGCGTCCTTGGTCAAACTCAGATTTATGTATCTGTTTCGCGGTCATTTTCTTAATAGGCAAGTAGATTTTTTTTATATTATAGGAGGCAGACGGGCAGGAGGCTCACCTGATGTTAAGTGATACCGCCGCCCATGGACACTCGCACTGCCAGAAGGCTCGCAAGCGCGCTGCAGGCCTTTTAAGAAATCGTACGCTCTTTTCTGATGATCCGCCTACTGTGCCTAACACACCCCTTCTCACGTTGACTTCGTCACGATGTTTTTCTTCACCGTACGATCGAGTGTAGAGTCATATACAGAGACAATACCTCAGAAAACCTAGCACAATATTGAAAGAGCTAAATTGAAAAAATACATTGTGATATGTACATTTCATACTTTTGTAGTACTACTGAATTTATACCTTGTAGCTGGATTAGCGGAAATGCCGTCTCTGGACTGCAACAGCTCGGGGTGATCGCCGATTGTGTCTGTTAGTGCTGCGATCATGACATCTGAAAATATAACAAGGTTAAATTAACTTATTTTTAACCAACAGAAAGGCCGTTTAACCAGACTATGTCACGTTGTTGAAGTTTCAGTGTCAAATTTGTTTAGGGTAAATTTCGTAAGTTGTGCTTGTTGACAAATATCTGGGAAACTGAGAAAATAATTAGAACTTCTTGAGAACCAGAATCAATTTAGTTTTGTCACGTTTCATGAAGATTGTTTCAATAGTTTTAAGATATAGGTATCCCTATTTCGGGAAGGGCAACGTTTGCTACATAGTTAAATGTTAACAGGTATTTGAAATCGATTACTCATATTACCTAACATATGTTACTTGATTTATTTAAAGAAATTTTTAAAACTTTCGGATATATTGAACAAAATGTATAACCATAAAAGTGCTTTAATGAGGCTTCCGTCCAACATACGAGTAAGTTTTTCGGAACTTTTACCATTTACAAAGCGCACGGGTGCTTTTAATATGAAAACATTTAATTGTTTTTACAACATTTATTATGACTCTCCGATCCTTCGTTAATAAGGTAATATAGCCAAACCAAATCAAATGCTTTTTCTATTATTGTAGTTTGAGTTGAGGTTTCTTTCTACCAAAAGAACTAGTTTGTTTTCTGTTCTCCGCAGAGTGCAGGATGTGAGAATTGTTTGCTGTGTAGACTTTTGAAAAAAACTTTGAGAACAAAGACAGCGTTCTTGTGTGATTAGTATATATTTGAACATGAGTACCTACCGAGAACTTTCTTCTCAATGTTCCTGGATAGCTGTCCCCTTTCGGCTTCTAGTTCGAGGAAGGTCATGAATCTTTGCATCGACGCACGCGCACTCGCAGGTTCCCGGGATAGCGACTGTGAGAACATCATCTGAAAGGTAGAATGTTTTTACGAATTAATACAAGTTTTTTTGACGTTCATAAGTGTACATTGCGTTACCTATATAAATAAATGTAATTATTAAAAGCAGCCAATCGCTAAAATTAACAGATATTTAAAGTCGATTCAAGTTGAAAAACTATTTGAAACTTTCTAACCTTGGCTAGCTGGTAGATTATCTCTTCCAGGGTATACTCAGTGTAGAGGGTGTCAGCAGCTCGAAGTTTATCCATCATCTCTTCATACTCTTCTTCACTCACAATGGTTCCATCGCGGTCATAGTCAGACGTACCTGCGATAAAAAAATTGTTCGTTTGTTAAAGTTAAATACTAAAAAGGCTTGCTCCAGGGCTTATTTCATATGTCGTGGAGACGTTGTCCTACATTATTATTATTATCATCCTTAGTGAAGAACCGTATCTGCCCCATACCTCATTGAGGGGCCACAGGATTCCTAACTCAAACTCAAACTCAAAATATCTTTATTCAAGTGGGTAACCAAGTACACTTTTGAATCGTCAAGTTAAATTAATCATAAATTTACATTTACTACCAGTTCGCAAGTCAAGGGCGTAGAGCGGGTAAGAAGAACTGGCAAGAAACTTTCCGCCACTCTTTTTAATCGCCAAGTATTGTCATACAAATTGTTTGAACTGGAGCAATTTAATCCCAAGGATTAGGATCATTTAAGTAGTCCTCAAATTTATAAAAGGCTTTGTTGATTAATTTTCGTTTAACAAGGGCTTTGAATTTATTTAGTGATAATTCTCTAATTTCGCTTGGGAGTTTGTTGTAAAAACGAATACAATTTCCATATAAGGAGTGGTTTATCTTTTGGAGCCTGGTTGGTCGTACACTCAAATTAGTTCTATTTCGCGTATTATACTGGTGAAAGTCACCATTTGTTTTAAAATCGTTTATATTTTTTTGGACATACAACAAGGCTTCAAGAATATATTGACCAGATAGTGTCATAATATTTAATTCCTTAAACTTATTCCGTACCGACTCCCTCGGAGAAACACAACAAATACCCCGAACAGCCCGCTTCTGCAGCACAAATATGGATTGAACCTCTGCAGCAGCACCCCACAGTTAAATACCGTACGACATAACGCTGTGGAAGTAGCTATGATACACTATTTTAGCCGTGTCCTTATCAGTAAACTGTCGGATTTTCTTTACTGCATATGCTGCAGAGCTCAGCCTATTCGAAAGAGTCTCTATGTGTGGGCCCTATTGGAGTTTACTATCTATTGTTATGCCTAGAAAAGCAGTTTTGTCAACAAAGTTAAGTTCACTGTCCTTAATTTTCAGGTTACCAATATCTCGCTTTACGCTAGTAGTTGTAAATCTAATACATTTTGTTTTATTCTTATTAAGCAGTAAGTTATTTACATTAAACCAGTTAACTATACGAGAGATAGAATTGTTTACATCGTCCAATAATACGTTATTCCTATTCACTTTAAATAGAAGTGAAGTGTCATCAGCAAACAATACCATCTCATGAACTTCGTTGACAAAGAATGGGAGATCATTTATGTAAATCAGAAATAAGAAAGGCCCGAGAATCGATCCTTGGGGGACGCCCATTGATACCTGCGAACCCGGAGAGGTGACTCCATTGACATGAACTCTTTGGATCCTTCCCTTTAAATATGAATTCATCAGGCTGGAAGCTTTGCCATCAACGCCATAGTGTTGAAGCTATCCAACGAGTATATCAGGATGAACACAGTCAAAGGCCTTTGACAGGTCACAAAAGACGCCGACTCCATCATATGATTCTTCCCAGGCGTTAAATATGTCCGAAATCAACTTCACACCGGCATCGATTGTGGAGCGACCCTTAGTGAAACCATACTGTTTATTATGTAAGAGTTTATTTTTATTCAAATGTAAAGAAAGCTGGTCTAGCATTATCTTTTCAAAAACTTTGCTCAACGCAGGGAGCATACATTATAGAAGTTAGGTGCAATATGGTACAAAAATAATGTACGCAAATTTGCTTTTGTAAATTCATTCTAAAGAACAAAAACTGGTTTCAAATTTTATTATAAGTAAAAATTTAAATTACTATCAAGTGTAAAGCGAACTTTGAATAGAAATGACTTTCGAAACTTAATGTTTAAAAAGTCAACATAATGGAATGTTAAACTTTGATAAGTTTCTTTGAATGTATTCCCAAACTTTACAGATGTGTCTAATAATATACGGTTGTGCCTAAAATATCTCATAATAAAGTTTGAACTGAAAATTAAATACAAAATACAACATTTGTGTAAATTTTTGGTAGTATGGTCTGCTAAAGCATCGATCCAGAAGACCCATGACTTCTTAATGCGCGTCGCGGAAGAAATTTGATACACGACAGGTGTTGTCCCATAGATTTAGAAGATATTCATGTAGTTTTAATGATTTAGTACTTACTTCAAATACTTATTTGAGATAAACGTTTTCTTAATTGAACATAGGCTACTTGTATAGTTTAAATACAGTATTGTTCCGTATTCCTTACTGATAATTTATCCGAATATAACCTATAGAGTGCCAATCCTTTCCATTTTCAATATATTAATTCTTGAATGGAAAAATTATATATAAGATTGCAGGATAATCCTGACTGCGCAGTTTAAAAGGAATTCTTCCAAAAAATATTTTTAGACTTCTGATACTTTGAAGTTTTCCATAATTTCACTCTTAAACATTTTTTAATTGATTAATTTATAGATAAGAGAGATAAACCTGAAAACTGGACTTGAAATCAGTGATGCCAACTCCTACAGAATGTTCCCAGACCAACTTTTCAATTACCCTAAATATCGATTAAAAACCCCTAAAGTTTTTGTTGTACACTCAGTTTGAGAGGCAATTTCAAATATGCATTAAAAATACATTCGAGTTGTATAAAATATAAAATTACGATCTCGAAGTATTATAGCTTTTCGATATTTATAGCTACGCTTGAAGTATATGATTTAGTTTGTTGGTTGGGTTTTTGGTTTAATATAAATTGTATAGAATCACGCCTTTTTTAAGAAAATAAAAAAATTCTCCTATAAATAAAGCAAATAAAAAATAAAATATGTTTATTATGGAATATCATATACAGGTATCACTTATTCCACGTCATTGGATTTGAATCGGTAGACATCCCTACTCATCGGCAAAAAAGACAGAGGGTGTAAGGCCGAGAGAAAAATCAAATCATCAAACAACACTTATTTTAAAACAAATATCGCAAATTAATTAGAAATAGCTAGCACTAGTCCCAGGCCCTTTCATCAACAAGATAATCGTTACCTTTATAGTAAGCCTTTTTACACAGCTTTTCTTTAATACATTTCTTTAATTTATTTAAAGGCAGACATGAAAGAGCCTCTGGTATTTTATTAAAGAAGACTATCTCTTTTCCCAAAAAAGAATTACTAACTTTAGATAGTCTAGTACGGGAAAATTGCAGCCTGCCTTTGTTACGAGTATTAACATTGTGCGTTTGTTCTAGTAAACTTATCACTATTTTTGTATACATACATTATATTTTCATAAATATATTGCGAGGTTAAGGTAAGTATATTAATTATTCCTTATATTTTAAATTATACATTGCACGAATAGCCCTCTTCTGCAGGATGAAAATAGTTCCGACATCAGCAACATGACTCCATACTAAATAAGCCATAAGTCATTAAGCTGTGAAAGTAACTAAAATAAACAAGTCTAGCTGTATCGAAGGTAGTAAATAGTAGTATGGGGTACACATATATTATAGAAGTACCCCGGGGTATTTATATAAATAAATGTACCTCCTAAAACCCCCCCAAGACATCTTGATTCTCCCTATATTTGAAGAGATCTCACCCAAGTTCATCATTCCTTGAAATTACTTTATAAAATCTAGTAAAACTCACTGATAACATTCGTCTGCAGCATAGGATCGTAGCCACGTTTCGCAATCTCCGGTCGGAGATCAGTTGAGACTGGTAGGGCTGGCACAGCGTTTAAATTGTTGCTCATGTCCCAGGATTTGCTCGCGATTGACCGGACGATATCAGGGCTACCACCGAATGGGAACGATTGGAGCATTGGTCTGTATTGGTACATCTGAAATAAAAGAGCATTCACTAGTTGTGATTGTATTCCCCAAATAAAACGACGATTTTAGTTATTTTAATGGCAAATACTACCTGTCAACTTATACAATTATTTATCTTTGAATCAAATTCAGAATCTTCGAATCATATGCCGTGAGCCAGAGATCTAAAATTATATCTATTATAAGTTTCTAATTGTTAATAAATGTTTTGTTCTTTTTATTATTGCGTGAAGTACGAAGGTTTTGACAATTTTTAATTGATTGTTTTTTAAAGTATATTGATGAAAATACTTAACAATTCATATAATGGTAATATTCGTATATTTTAAGACACAAATGCTAAATGTTATATTTAATTACTGATATTTAATCCTGGAGTGTCGCACTTCATTAACTAAAGCTAAATGGAGTACTAAAATAATTACTCCCAGTTGAATTCAAGCTTAATCATTATGAATACGAACCATTAACTTCATAATTCGCTATCGTTTGCTAAGACCGCACTTGACCTTAATTTCATGTAATTGCTCCAAATTTAATTAGTAGTAGTATAGCGTATCTCTTAACCCTGAAGTCGTGAGTTCGCACTCCAATGAACGAATAGATTTTCTTATCTATCTATCTATGTGTGCGTTTAAAACATTGTGAAAAAACCAAATCGCCTAAGACCCAAAATTTGAAATCCAAGAACAATCAATACAAGGGGTTGTCGTATTTTTTATAGGTGTTTAAGTTTTATTATTAAATTCTCTCTGAGGCTAAGGACTCATAAAGCGGTTTTCACCCGCGCCCGCCGCGGTGGCGGAATGGAGATTTATTTTCAATTTTCGAGACCGGAGTTTTGTGCGGTTACGCAGACGTCGCGGTTGCGATTATCCCTCGCAAACTTGGCGGTTGATTATCGCAATACGGGCGGTTGCTAGACGGGCGGTTAAACGATCAGTTGAGTTCCAGACCATGGACACACACCAGAAACGAGCTGTTGCGTTATAATTACTTCACAGAAAAATTAAAAAAAGAAGGCCTAAAAGGTTCTGGGTACATCCACTAATTGCGGAAAGAGATCGTTATGGATTATTTGTTACTCTTATTAATGAGTTAAAAAAGGATGAAGAAATGTTCTTTAATCATTTTCGAACTCCACTGCGGTCGCCCGCCAACCGATCGCAGAGCGCGCGGGTGCAACACAAATATCTGTGTTCTACAAAGGCTGCGGTCCCGCAACCACAGCCGGCGCGATTGAAAACCACTTCGTGAGTCCTTACCCTAAATGGTATGGATGGTATGAATGGTAATAGGTAATACTGTTTAATCAGAAAACGCCGACACCGACTTCAGCTGAGTGACACATTTGACGTAACCATTACCTTATTCTTAATTGGTTTTAGAACTTCAAACTAGCATTTGATATTAAATGTATTAGTGAAAATATTCATATATGTAACAGTTATTAACAAATTAATTAATTGTTAATAACATTATGTTAATACAAATTAATTAATTGTTATATTATTGCTGTCAGAAGCATAACATTTCACAGACAATAGTACTAACGTTTACAATCTTCTAATTAGAGGGCCAATTTTATTGTGCAGAATTGTGTTTGACAAAACAAAGGTATCTGTGGAAATGAGTAGACAACAGACACGCATTGTGGCTATTTCACTGAGAATTTTTCTTGGAATAAAAGTCAAGAGAAAATGAATATGAGACATAAAAAAGATAATGTTGTAAAAGGTACTTCAAGTGGAACAAAATTCTAAGTCGGCTGTGTTCTACGGAAAGAAGGTTTGTATTGTTTGTAGATGAATAAAAATAAATATTAATTCAGCTACATCTCATAACATTTCTCTCCACATTCTTAGCTCTTAATATAACAGCTGACTCACTAACAATTTTTGAAAAAATACTATTAAAATAACAATTTTAGTAAGCAGTAAAAGATGATGAAATTTCCATTGCTCATCCTAGGCCAAGTCAATTATACAAATATTTTCGAATGTGTAGAGTTTACATATAATAAGGTTACATATAAGTGGTATATAGGAAAAGTATTGGCTTACTCATTCAAATCTCAATCCTATGCGCGCAATTATCATTTGCCGTTATAGTGAAAGCAAACATTATGAGTAAATATCATATACCCAAAAGTCAACGACATTAGTGAGGCACAGATTGCTGATCATCTACTAGGCTATGAGATAAGAAAATGATCAAACAAAGCCTCTGAGGCCTATACAGGACCTACCTTTACAGGATTATAAAGTGTTGGAACTCTGTCCAAAGGTTTTGTTTACTGACTAATCTAATATATTGAAACCCACGGCCCAAGAGTCTACTAACAATAGATATTTGTCTAGCTATCTTTATATGTAAATATATATATATATATATTATATAAAAAAAGCCAATTACAAATTTAATAGTCATGAAAGTTAATTGTATAGAGCATTGCAACATTCACAATTACTCAATCATACAAATTTGCTTGAAATCGATTCAGCATATTGAATGTTATTATATTAGCCGTAAAGTTTATTCTCCCTTACTTGTTTTATGATCAATCTCTGCTTTATATGTCTTGCACTAAACCACGTGTTGTTATACATTAGTTTCGGTCACAGACGACGCAAGGTTTGACCTACTTTCTGATAAATACAAACCTGTTTGACCTGGCAATGATACTGAAATACAACTTCTATTTTTATATTATCATTGAAACGATAGTCTATTCAAACAGAAACGTAAAGAAATGTTATTTATACACGAGTGAAATTTTCGATTCTCAACGTTTTATATGATGAATGTATTGTTTGCTACGAGAATGCTACGACGGTGCTACGAAATCTTGCAAAGTGTTTTCGTGTTTTCAGTAGTGGACTCTGAGTATGTTTTAACTGTCATTTGAACGTTATCTAGCATAAATTCTTTACTTTATATTCCATTTACAAAATAGTAAATTATGCAACGGATTATAATGTGTTTTTCATCACTCTAAAGGCCTGTATTCACTTTGATTAGTGATTAGTGCAGGTGTGTAGTGCAAGTAGTGTCCAATTCTTGTTTAGTGGCTCTATTAAGTAAATTCAGTTGTCGATAGCTGTCGATCAGCAAGTTTGGACGAACATGGAGAAGAGCGTTTGCAATTGGAAGAAGTACTGAAAGAAGTATTAAACGCGGTGCTATCTGAAACCGAAGAAGTTTTGGAAGCTGAACTTGCAAGACCAAGAAATTTATGGGTTCGAAAATGGATTAATGTAAGACCCATTCATGGCGCAAGCTACCAACTCTATAAGGAATTGGCTGCTGAAGATACGACAGAATATTACTTTGCTCTCAGGTTGACCGAAGAGTCCTTCTGCCTGTCCATACGTGTTTTGGCAGGCACGCTGCGAGTGTGATGGAAGGGAGGGCGCACGCGACGTCACTACTCGCAGTTCACTCGCGAAAAAATAGAACACGCTTCTAATCACTTTACTACGCAGCCAACTAATCACCTGCACTAATCAGTCGCTGTCCACACTTGTTTTCTCCTGCACTAATCACTAATAAAAGTGAACACAGGCCTTAAGAGTCAAGAGGAAACAATGTCAGTGCTGTGTATTGTCATAGATTTTTTACCTTTTTATTTGTTTTGCATGCAGTTGTAATGAGTCATAGTTATAAGAGAGTTTACTATTAGTTATTTAGCTATTTATGTTGTAGCATGTGGTGTACGTGGACGTATGAAATCTAAGTCGTTTTGCGCTATACACTTTTAAACTTCGCTTTTCCGTTTCATGCGTCCCAATTTATTTTCACTTTATTTTAAAATATCAGATTTATACAAAACTGGTAGACTCGGCCAAGCGTTGCCGTGGCTAAGATTTTTGTTATATTACATAGTAGTAAACTATTCAAGAGAAACGGCAGGAGAACACCAATCCACCATGCTTTTTTGGTGGTTATGCGATTAAATTGTAACTTATGTGAAACGTTGGTATTTATTTTGATAAGGATCAATACCTAGATACGAATGAAGAGCCTTTTCTAGCGGTGGTATTTTAATAAAAAAAAATTAATAAAAGGACGCTTATTGTGACGTAACTATAAAAGATAGAGACATGCTGTCGCGACATTTTTTATAGATAGTGATGTGTCCTGAAAAATTGTAATACATCATTTTATTCTATCATTAATAATTAAGTTTTCGCAGCGCACGCGATTGAAGGAAGATTTTTGTTTATTTTTTTACACCTTGAGTTAGATTATTCAAGTTTTAGTAAGCATCCTTAATTTTTTTGAAAATGAAAGCCTATGTCACTTGAGAATAGTGTAGCTTGCCAACGGTGAAAGAATTTTTGAAATCGGTCCAGTAGTTTCGGAGCCTATTCATTTCAAACAAACAAAAAATCAAATCTTTCCTCTTTATAATATTAGTATAGAATTATTAGAGAATCTACTTACCTTTGAATTTTGTTCTAAAAGTGCGTTCCTCAGTTTATCTTGCTGAGCGTTTTCTGCGTTAATGGTTTGAGCGTAATGTGCCCGAAGATAGTCGATGTTAAATTTTATCTCTTGTAGAAACGCTATGGCCTCTTCTTTGTTCATCTATATGAAAATACAAAATTAAGTGAAACTATGCTTTTATTTTATGTTATCTACTTTTTGGAATAGCATATGGGATTTGGATTAAGGTGATGCAAAGTAGACAACGTAAGGTACACCAGTGGTGAAATTATTGGCTGGCTAATGTCATATTTGTTTAATTGTATGGAAAAAAAATACAAATTATTTCTTCGCCCACCAAAAATAATCTATTCTAATGTTGTAACCGCTATGTGGAACCAGCTGGCAATGTGAGTATCCACGGGAGGGCGGTGTTACTTTACATCAGGTGTTTAACCTGCCCGTTCGTTATGTGAAAAAAATATTAATTCAAGAAATGATTTTAGATATTATCAAACCTATATAGGTTAGATGGATGTGTAACTGATGTAGTTTGGTTAAAGTCAAAAGTTTTTATTTCATCATCACTTACTATACTTTTCAGGCCATTCTCAATATATTTTGTTAACATATCACGAATTTATTTTAAAAACTACTTACGGTGCGTACAGACTATATAACATAACATGTTATACAACATTGCTATACAACATGTTTCAGATAATGTGGACACTGAATGTTATAAAACATGTTATTGATATGTATGCTAGGACGAACCCAGCATCTACGTTTTTTTGTTTTTCTTTTGTTATTTAAAATGGTTAAATAACATTGTTATATTGCATTGTTATTCTAATGTGTACAGTATTGTTTTATGTTATAATGTTGAATAACAAGGTTACATAATGTGGACGTGTTATAAAACACAAGTTATATAATATGTTACATAGTCTGTACGCACCCTTAGAGTATGGTTGTTAGTGTCAAATAAAAAAAACATATACACGTTTGGTATTAACAGGAACTTTAATAACGTTATGTTAACAATCGCTCAATTACTAGCAAGTTATCGTTCGTATCACGGAAATTTTCATTAGAGCTGGTAATAATTGTATCAAATTATTTAACAACTTTTAATATTCAATTAAAGAAGTAATGACCCGATTAACCTTTCAGAGACCGGCTTTATGAATTACAATGAAAAGTTAACGATTGTTTGTCATTGTTTAGTTCTTCAAAACTTAGCAGTATTCACTTAGATCTTTTGAAAACTAAATAAAATAAATATATAAGTAAAACTAGTATTACAATAAACGGTTGCCTTCATACAATCCTTGTTTTATAACAATTTTTATATCACTTTTATGAATTCAACATAAAAAATAGGGAGTAAAACTGTTAGACCGGGAGATAGTGACACAAAATAGTGGGTCATTTGTATGTCATTTGGTCATTGTTTTTTTTTAAATTAACGCATTCACGTCGATATGGTGGGCTGTAAGTCACACAGGAGAAGTATGCCATGACACTGCCGCCTCTTATTTTTTTATGCACTATCGGAAAATACTAGAATTTTTGTGGAACAAATCGTTTGACACCCTAATTAATCCGACGATACCGACTAACACCCACGCGATTGGGCCGCCTGTACCAGCGCTGTGCTATGACCAGCAGTTTTCTTTTTTCATTACGTAATAAGACCCCTGAAGAACCGCCATACTGGTACAAATGACCCACTATTTTGTGTCACTATCTCCCGGTCTATGTATTTATAAATACGTAGTACTTGTGTCAACAAACGTTGTTATTTAAAAATGTTTTTGAAACATACCAATCCCTCTTGAAGAAATTCCTCTATTGCATTAGTTACTCCATGTTCGTCGCCAGTCCAGAAGACATATTCAGCCATGTCCAGAGGTGAATATTGTACACCGGCGTATGATGAATAGTGGTCCATCTGTTTAATACATATAGAATATTTAATTGGACGTCTGACGGCTTTTTAAATTAAAAACAAAGGTCCAATCAAAATAGTAATATTAGTATTGCTCAATACGGACAGGCCCTCTCCGAATTGTGATACTTATAAACTGAGCAAAAAGAAGAAGAACAATAGAGCATTCAATCGAATAAAAATAAAATAAAAATTTCGTAATTTAAGAATTTGTGAAATATTAGTATTTTATATTTCATGCAAAATAATTTATTGAAATCTCAAATGACGAATTGTAAATTAAAATGCCACGTGTTTTTATTATCGAAGAAATAAATAAAAATAAATAAATTTAGTATTTGTATTAATTTTCGACACATTTAATGAAAATTAAATTCATTAAATTCCTAACATATCTCCTTTTTTCCCTCCTTCTAAGTCTCACAAATCTCAAGTTATAGATTTGTATAAATATGAACAAGAGTTATAAATTAGTTTGCCAAAGAAGTTTCACTTCCGACATGGGTAATTTATATGCACGCTCTTTTGTTGTCTTGAGCATGGCTTTGAAGCTTTAAATATATAAATATAATGAAAGAGCGCTCCGTTGGGGAATAGTAGACGTGTATTTCATATTATATAAACTAGTTTGATCCGCTTATGCGCCAGTCCTGCACGTACGAGGTTCTGCTCTAGTAAATCTTTCTCGGCTTTGTCAATATCTTTGGAATGACCTAGAAGGTATTTAAGGATGTAGTCTGCGTTTTTATCTCTATACATAAAATTCTCGTGTCATCGTTCCCATACTCCTCCTTCTTATGAAATTTTGTATGTATATTCAGTAAGTCTGAGAATCGGCTACTATCTATTTTCAAACCCGTAAGAGATAAGGGGTGTCCAACCCAAAATTTTATTTTTTAGACAATTTTTTTTATTTCTTTTTTTTTGATCCAGCATACAAAAATACATACAGCTCCTAATTTTACATACGATTAACCCCTATTTTTATTATAGTAGATAGTTATTTTTATTGAACTAAAAACATGTTTCCTAGAAATAATATACATGGCAAAACAACGTTTGCCGGGTCAGCTAGTATTTACATAAAATTCTGTACATGTAACTTTGAAGTAAATTTGACATATTTTAACTTATGAATTTTAATATACGTAGATAGTTTCGGTGGGATTTGAGTAATTTTAAGTACGCTACTAGTATTTAATCTTTATAAGTTGACTTTATGTATCAGAATCACCTCTCACATTAAATAAAAAGCGAATCTAAACATGAATTTACAACAATTTAATATTGAAGTTAATAATTTTATAACAGTACTTTAAAAGAATAGATTGCTTTACTCAAAATGACATCGTTAGGTTTACGAGTAACAGACGTGAGGCTATAAACCGTAACGTTATAGTCGGAATGCATTATTTTAATTTTAGTAACAGAGATTTTATGTAGACACTTTCCAAGCCAATTTACAAAATTACTTATTTTGTAAGTTTACGTAAAGCAAAGCATAGTAACACAGTTCGATTGTTTTCTTGTTACTTTGTGTATTTATTTTATTAGTTTCGTAGTTTAGTTGACTTTATTTACTTAAAGTAAGTTGAAGTAATTTTAAAATTCTTTTTGTTACCACTCAATATGACTTTGCTGTGGAATGGAAGCCTGGTAATTCATATCACAGGTTCTTACCAAGTTTGGAAACCAGTCTCCCAATACCTTCTTTACTGTAATCTTATTGTTGCAAATGTTATATAAGAGTAAATAAAGCCCCTTTTTAGGAAAAAGGAAATTTGACACTCCCCTGCTGCTTAGCTTCTCAGCCATAGACCTGTCTGATTACGTGGTTGATAGGCTGTTTGAGGTCCTATGTATAAAATTTAAAAAAAAACTATATGCTAAATCAGTACTTTTTCTGATTTTTAAGACAGATATTTTGTTAATTTCATGTAACGAGTTTAGCATCTAGAATCTTACCTACTTAATAACTACGAACAAAAGGTAAGGTATTTAGGTTCTTGAATTAAATAAATGGTTATTTTCAATTATACAAAGTTACATTTAATGTAACATTTATTCGCGCAAGTACGCATTCAAATACAACTTCTTACCGTATAATTAAACTCTTTCACTGACCGCGTTAACTGATAAGCTCTCAAAACGTCGAGTAATGCAAATAATTGATAAAAATGCGTGTTTATTTACATTAAATACATTTACACATAGTTACATACATTATTTTTATACGTATGCATATGTGTAGTAGTAAGAGAAGATGTAGTATACTAACGTTATTCTTGGTTTCCTTGGTGATGTCGGCGTTGAATGCCCGACGTACCGCAGTGTGACCATTTGATGGATTCGAAGTTGCTGAACCGGGTTGAATTAGTCGAGCTGCTCCGTGAAATACCTATACAGAGATGAAAAATAGTAAATTAACTTAATACTTTAGTTTGTCTAGAAGCTACAGTGAAAATAATGATTTATAATAATCGAATGAAATAAAAATTCAATTATTCATATATGTACACATATGAATGTCAATATTAAAAAAATATAACCCTCTAAATTTACATTGGAGTAGTACTTGCCAAGGGCGAACAGTTAGCGAAAAGAACTGGTAAGTAAATCTCCGCAATTTATTTGAATAGCCAAGTTGTTGGCCAACTATTTCACCATGCACCATTAATAAAATATGTATATAATGTCGTTTTTAAAGTTTTTTTATTTAAATGAGTAGTACAAAATAAAATACAAAATTATGTAAAACCATAGTTTTCCAAAACTTCAAAGAGACCAAGAAGATACGTGAATCTATTGCACATATACCTATACCACTACAGGGTTACACTTCGTTGAATTAGTTACACGTGCCGGCTGTACTTTTTGTGCGTGATCGATAATGCCCACGCAATTTGGAGACAAGACAAGTTCTCTGTTATTACTTTTCAATATATATATTATACTTTCTGAGCAATTGCCTAGCTAGGGTACGATTTTAATACCCAAGAAGAGTGTTTGATGCCCGGTTGTACTCAAATATAAATAATAGTTTAAAAAAAACTAAAAAACACGCTTTTAAAGCACATCAAACTAAAAAGTGAAAAATAATTCCTAATTTAGGCTGAAAGTGGTAATGAACAAAAAATACTGGTTTTATTGTGAAAAAGCGTGGGGCGCTCTGTGCCATATTTTTCGTCTATCGAGCAACCGCAATCACTTTTTAGTTTGATGTGCTTTAAAAGCGTGTTTTTTAGTTTTTTTAAACTATTATTTATTTTTTTGTTAATTTTTTTCATTTTTTTTCGGATTATTGCATTGTCATCGATCTTTGACAGGTACGCAAAGTTTGAATTAAATCTAAACGTTAAAAGTGGGTCAAAATCGAGTCCGAAGGAGTCGGTTACATACATACATACATACAGGTGAAGCTAATATAAAGCGTGTAAAAATGTTCTTTACTTTAACACTTTTAATAGAGTGATGAGTGAAAGAATACATTAAGGAAATTAAAATGGCAATAAAATGCAGCAAACCTCGACCAAGACTGGCTTTTAATTATTTTAAAGACATCTAAGTAACTTTCCATTTCAGCCATGAATATATCTCTATCCAGGATTGTTAAAAATGTTTAACCAAACACCAGATATACGGATAAATAAGAAGAAAAAAATCGTTTTATAAAAATCCAAATACGCAATTATACCAGCGTAGCGGCAATAAATAGCGGTAATTTTAATCCCCTTCATATAACCAAATCAGATCCACTTATTTTACTAATGTTAAACTGTGTTTACGCTATGATAAAAAGAAAAATGTTATAGTATATGCAATTAGACGATTTTTTATAATAATGGCTTTTACTATGAACATTAAACGGTTATCTTTGTAAAACATTTCAAATGTTGAGTTAAGTAAATTATGTAATACAAATATTCCATACAAATTGAATCTGAATATAAATATTATTTAAAAAACCAGTGGCACTGTAACCCTTCATAGCCAAGGCCTCATTTCTGTTCTTGTGATTATTTGTTTTTTTTTCAAATAGCCAAGTAGGTTGACTTTTTGGGTCTAAGGCGTGCCGGTTTCCTTATGATTTTATTCTTCACTGTAAGAGCGTGTATTAATTAAACACATAGACAGAAAGTGCATTGGTGCACAGCCGGGATTCGAACCTACGACTTGCTGAACCCAGCTCTTAAACAACAGAAGTAGTACGCTTAGTAAATATTTAATCGAGCGTGACAATATTAAAACATATATATTGTAGTCAATTCTAGATATACAAATAAAAATTGTTCAAAGGATCAAAGTTTATCGTTCGCCCTCTAGCCTCGCGTATGTGAGCATTAAAAAAATATTAAAAATAAAATAATTAAATGTCCTAAATATAACCGTATACAAAAAACGCAATTTAAATCATACACAATATTATGTTGCATAGTAAAATAGAAAAATAACGTGGCGAGAAATAGTATTGTTACTTATACATTCGGTCTTTTGTTGAACAAAGCATTTTATATGAAAATAGTATTCACATGAAACAAAGCAAATGTATTATGTGAGGCGATTCGAGCTCTTACTTGAAAAATACGATTGTATAATGCAATCTCAAATAGAGTTCTATAGTTCTACCATGTTCTACCATTATGTATAAAGTATTAGATGTCTCTTGTGTCTAGTATACATAATGCATGTATGGCTTCTTTCGCCTGAATTTACTTTTTGAAGTTTTTTGTATCTAGTGTATACATAATGCTTTTATAAACATACTATTGAAATTACATTCTTTCTCCTGCATTATCATATAAAAAACTTATAAAAGAATAACTTATCATCAAAATCGTTACAAGAAACCTACCCGGACTTTTGATATAGTCATAATTATATAATAGGAGCCTGTGACATCATACATAAAAATTATTTGTATTCCCTAAATTGTTTGTGTTACCATTACTCTACTACCTTATTTTAAGATTATGCCAGTTTATTTAGTATTTGATATTATAATGCAGTATTTGGATATGATATGGTAACCTAATACTACTGCATATTTAACTATTTTTACTTATCCCATATAATGCAACGTACGTATAACTAAATGCTGAAAGTCAGTCCGTGGCGTTTTATACCAATATTACTCAGCAATTTTTATTGAATTCGTATAATTTCTTAAGCTAAGTAGAAATGAAAAACTCTAATCTATGAAATAATTAGAAGACAGACTATATATATATCACATGAAGGAATATCACGAAATCAGAGGTTGTAACGTTATTTTTTTAAATAATGTTTTCATTAAAAAAACTCAAAAATTCCTAATAACGTGGGAATACCCAATTGTTATTTAAAGTATAAATCACAGTTTTAAATAAGTCTTACCTTAGTTGTCTGTTCCTCGCTTGGAGCGGAAGTAGATTCAACCAGGCTTACATGTTCTCCATCCTGCACGAGGGTTTTATGAATGTTTTTAGATGGTAGGTCTACTTGGGTTTCAGCATGAATTTTGGGCTTTTCATCATTCGCCGAATCCGCCGTTGCGTGCTGTTCGAGCCGCGATACTAGCTCACCGTTGGATTGTACTGTATCTAAAAAATATTATTACAATTAAATATAAAAAATTACATTAATCGGCGATGAGAATTCAAGATTTTTCGGGAAATGGCTTGCTCGTAATATTATTTATTCCAAGGTTTATTTCATACTTCAACTCTACATTTGAGCCTAATTGTCCATATTTTAAAATCATATAATTTTTTATTCTTAGGCTAATGAACAATGTAAAATTTCGGTGAAGAAGCCAATAAGGGGTGATTTTATGTGATTTTAACTGAATTATTACTGAATTAGTATTAAATGATAAAATTTTGGTTTAAATATATTATTAATAATTTAAAAACTAACCAAGACTGTGATATTCGATATGCTCGCTCTTCAATTCCTGGTTGTCTTTTGACGCATCCTCTGTAAAAAGACATATATTATTATATATGTCTTATTATATATATACTCTAAGTGATGAGTAGTTTGGGTCAATACCTATATACGTTATAAGAGATCTTTTTATTTAAAAAATAGCTTTGCGCGTACCAATTACGTTGATATCTTCATAATTCTCTTTTCGCGTTAAATGTATATTTCCATGAGTTGTCAATAATTTACTAGAGCTACTCATTATATTTGTTTGTTATATATTTCGAACGCCTTGTAGCAGACAACATACTGTATTACCCTAGGCTCAAATTCCTACCATAATATATTACGGAAATCCGTACATAGTACATTACTTAAGCGTGCGACATACAAAGACCAAAGGACTTTCTATGTGCGAATTTAACACTAGCTTGAACGGTAAAAGAAGACATCGTGAAGAATCTAGCATGCCTTAGATCAAGTCGAAGGCGTGTGTCAGACGACAGAAATCTAAAGCCCAGACCTAAAACGGTTGTAGCGGCACTGGTGTGGAATACTTTACTAAAAATTGTGGCAAAACATATGAGAAAGCTTACATCACATACTAGCTGATATAAAGTGTGGAGCCATACTAATAAATCATATAACAAAAGACTGGATACGATCTAAAGAAAATTCTGCAAATATTGGCTCAACGTTTATTTTTAGAAGGGGTTTTCAATAACGCGAATGTAGTGATATGGAAGATTGAACCCGTATCTATGAATTGAAGTCCACTCTATTTCTTTTGATCCCTATTTGTTCGGAAAACACTAACAAAATGTTACAAAAACAGTGATAATAACCGTTTTCATTTATTTATTTATTTTATTTATTTACACTTCGTTGCTAATAATATAAGAAACACAATACATAAAAATTATAAGGGATGCAACGGGCGGCCTTATCGCTAATAAGCGATCTCTTCCAGGCAATCCTAGTTAAGAGAAAAACTAAAAAAAAAGACACATGATGCGTGCGAGAAGTGCAGAATCCTTAATCTAAAGTAATACAAAAAAAAAAAATATTAATAACAAACTAAAAACTTAAAAACTAATCTTACAAATACATGAACAGCGAATAGTGCTGTAAAAGGAATCATAAGAATTATACAAGTCACGATTGATGAGGATAGGATAAGGTTAAGAAATGATTATACAGAAGAGTTTTAAAAGATGACAGAGAGGTAGCCAATCGTACGGAGTCAGGCAGCGTATTCCACAACTTAATGGCGGAGATTGTAAATGAATTGCCTAAGAAGGACGAAGTGTGGGATGGAATTTCCAATAAACATCTATTAGAAGAGCGTAACATATAGTTAGAAATACCTAAGAATTTGAAGTGATTTTTGAGATAAGAAGGGGTAAAAAAATTTAATTGTATGTTTATAGAAAGAGTCTAGATTTGGGCGGATTTCTTATTTAATCAAAAGCACTATTACTTGATCACCATTAAACAGGCAAATAGGAATTATGATTACATACATATTTGACATATAACAAGACCTAAATACTAATTATTATTCAAAAAGCTTTTAAAATGCATTGAATAAACATAACATTGAAAATGAGAAAACAAAAACGGCGCTATAATGTATCTTTCATAATACAACGTGAGCTTTTTAAAGAATGAGCTTCAAAAAGATTTTCTATTTTCTTAAGTCGTAAAGTTCGTCTTATTACTTTCACACGTCTTAGAAAGAAAATATTAAAATAGTAAATTCTTTTACCCAAGTATGAAACTTATTGATACTATAAAAGTTTGTGAGTATGTTTGTCTAAGCTCTAAAGTAATCATCGGAACTACTGAAATACTAGTAGAAAGCTGCATTATTGATAGTACAGAATACAAAAAATAATTCCTTATAATGAGGCCTTTGAAACACTTCTTCAGGGCTTCACACTGGCTATATGATATCCAATTTATAATTGCTACGAAGTACAGAAATACTGCTACTGACGTATAAACTAATCAAAACTTTACCAAATGATAAAGCTTTATCACCCCTTACTACGAGTTAAAGGATAGACACTAATTTACATAAAATTACACAACATTAACAATGAAAAAAGGAATATATATATATATAAAAATATAGTTTTGAAAGGTATAGAAAAGCTAGTACTGAATTGCCTTGGCATATTTTTTAATTAGCTTGCATGACGGGTAGTTTTTAACAAATTGTTGGTTATTGTATGACGTTGAAAAAACTTAATATATGTATAAAAAATATGTAGATTACGAAATAAGTATGTATTTATTACAGTAAATTGTAATATATCGCCGTTTCTTTTAAATTTAAATAAAGTTAATTAACCATAATTTCTTATACCTATTGGTTATATATTACGATACATAAAATACTTAAAATTGTTACTAAATAATTACAATTTTGTAATATAATTTAATAAAACATGAAATAATAAGTTTTTTATTACAATCTTACGTAAAATGATAATAAATTTTCTTACCAATTTTGAGGTTTTCCAATTGTTCAACTGGAATATCCTGCAAACAATAACGGATTGATGACTTCTATTATTAACATTTACATTCTAAATAAAAGAAAATCTAATATCAAACTGGCAATTATTTTTATTATGGGTTATAAATAGATCATAGCAGCAGCAGCAGTGTTGGCCTAGTGGCTTCAGCAAGCGACTCTCATCCCTGAGGTCATAGGTTTGATCCCCGTCTGTGTACCAATACACTTTCTTTCTATGTGCGCATTTAACATTTACTCGAACGGTGAAGGAACACATCCAAACGTCGACCCAAAAAGTCAACGACGTGCGTCAGGCTCAGAAGGCTGATCACCTACTTGCCTATTTTGTCTTTGCCTGTTGTAGCACCATTGATTTTTTTAAATAAATAGATTATACAAGTTGTATACCATTACTGTTGAGCTTTAAGAGTGCCTACGATAAAATTGCCTTATTTCTAAACATATCAAGAACAACCCATGTTACTCTTTTACTTTAAATTATAATTGTTTTTAAATTATTACTAGTTATTATTACGCAATTGTTGAATAAAAACCAACTAGGAAATTTTCAACTTTCAGTTGAAACTAACGTATCGAATCGTAAGCAACTTTAGGTTTTTTCAAGTTGGTAAAAAAATATAATTGTTGCCATTGTACTGACCTAGATATATTTCTATGCCACGGTCAATAATAATTAAGTTTATTTGGCTTCTATGCCCTGCAAACTAAGCAACTTTGTTACTGCGTGAGAGAATTGTCATATATGTGCGTATACATTTTTCAGTTCTTTCCAACTAATCATAGATTATAAATAGTAATATAAGTAATAGTTATAATAAAGTCAATGTAAAGAGTCTAAAGTATGGGACCTCTTTTTATAAAGTAAACAGAATACGTCAACGTTACTTGATAATATGTTTCCTTTAATTGTTTTATTATTTTTTTAACTCTTAATTTTTCTTACGATACACATAACACATCCTCATACGAGTATTGTAATATAATGACCCTCGGCCCCTAAAATACACGAAATCTACTCGGGTGTAGCTGCTGATGACAGCCAGATAATGTTAAATAAAAGTCTCTTTAGTCTTTATTTTTTTTTATTTTTTTATTGGACAATTCACACCAATTGAGCTAGTCCCATGTTAAGCTGGTGAAGCTTGTGTTATGGGTACTAGGCAACGGATATACTATAGATAGATAGACATATAAATATATATTTAAACACCCAAGACCTAAGCACAACACCAAAGGCTCATCACATCGATGTTTGTCTCAGCCGGGGATCGAACCCGGGACCCATGGATTCGCAGTCAGGGGTACTAACCACTAGACCAATGCGCCGTCAAAGTCGCTTTAGGGACAAACAATTTTGATAAAGAAATGCACAAAATTTAATTTTTGCCTTAATATAATTGAATACAGAAACGAATAAAACGTACATAATATTTCAAATATGTGCACTTAAATTACAGAGAATTTTCATTCGTTATTGAATGAATTTCTAAAGACTTTAAGACCGTATTAGCTGCGAAATCTTTTCAGGAGTAAGCATTTCATTGCTACTTTATTAAAAGCTGAATTATAAATTAGTTTCTGGATTTTATAAGGGTATTTTTAATACTTTTTCATATGTAAAATGTTGATGGATGCTTACATGAAAGTAAGTCGTTTGCATATTTACAACCCAGTACACGTTTGGAATATTAAGAAGTTTTTTGAACAATTTTGTGTTATCGCACGCATTTTAACTTGCTTTTATATTTTTTATTATGGATTTAAAGTAAAACTTAATAACCTTCAAAAATATAATACAATAACTAAAATATATTATTAAAAGGAGTCCCTTTAGGCAAAGTTCCGTAGATACTGGCAGCGTTCCCCTTTGAATAGCTAGACTAAACCTTAGTTCGAGGTAGCAAATAATAATAATATTTAAGTTTCGGTATAATTTTTATCATCATACAATAAACACGGTAAGTACTTTTATTTTAAACATAAAAAAACTTGGTTGATGTTTAGTATAAAGTTATGAAAGTCTTCCAATATCCATACTATTATTCTATCATTAAAATTGACTCACTCGACAACAGTCAACAATCACAGTAAGAAAATACTCACGGATTTTTCCTCACTTGCATCTGAAACAAAAGAAATTGTATTATTCAAGCGAAATCGTCTATAAAAACTTATTAAATTGATATTGATCTATTCCAAAGCTATGTTTTTTATATGTATTTGTTTAAGTAACTATGTAAATCCAAAAACAATAAATTTCCTGAGCATTTCCATTCTAGGGTCTTTTTTGCATGTAGGCGTAGTTAGTTTATATTAGATTAAAGTTATCGTTGACCTAAGACTATATTAGAAGCCTACGTGCATTTGTTGATGAGACTGACAATTAAGAAGCTGCTTTAATGCGTTTAAAGTGAGAATGTGGTCCTGGTAGAACAAGAAAGCGACTCCGGGAATCTCAGGTGCACCCAAGGCGTACTTTTTATTGCCCGTCCAGAGAGGATGCCTCTTATGAATCAAATCCCATATATCGCCTAGGCCATTGACTTAAATTATTTATCATAGGTTATTCGTTTGACTTCTTCTGTCAAAAGCGTCTCTAGTCCAATCAACTCGACTCATACAACTTTTCAATTGACAACGAAATGTGCCGTAATGCCGGCCATACACACTACGGTCTACCGGAGAGGTCCACCTGTGCAGGTATGCCTGCGCAGGTAGACCGAACAACGGTAGCGTGTATGGGGACGTTCCGGTGTATCGGAGCGGTTTTCAGTTCTCTTTGCGATGGCATCGAATGTGGACGATGACACGCTGGCGTTGCTAGGTCTTGCTTTAATTTTGAAGAAAAAATATGCGAAAAACAAGCGAAGAAAGTGGTGTAAGCATTGGTTATTGAAAAGGAAAACATATAGTCATGTTAATTTATTAAATGAATTGAAATTTGAACCCGGCTGGCAAAGGCCGGCATTATACGTAGAAGCCACCGTATTCTTATTGCTATGCATAATATCATATATTCGTTATCTTTGATCTCAATTCTTAGAATTTTGGAGATCTGAACTAATATAGACGAGAAACATATTTAAATAACGAAAGCGTGGCTTTACTGCGAAGCGAATCGTATTTAATTTTGTATATTTGAATCCGCCCACGCTCAGATTCATCAACCATTTACAATGGAAGTCGTTGAACTCGCTAAAAATAGAATAAATATTTCGTAATTATAATTTAGTTTGGACAAACCGGTATTTTACGTATAAAGAAAGTTGCTCCCGTCTTTGTAAACTTTGAACGATGCTATCAAAGTTAGGATCTTAGGATCTTTTGCTCTAACAGAATTATCAGTTGGACAAATATAGTTTGGTGTAATTAATTTATTAGGACAAGCAGAAAGTTAAAATAAGCTGTGTTGGACTCGCCCTAAAGTTTGCGATGCCTAACCGAAAGGTCGTGTCTCTCAGCTGTGCAATGTATTTTTATATGTGTTTTTATTTGTTAATATGCCTAAAGAAAACATCGTAAGGTTATCAGTATCTTGTCAGTATGAATAAATATATTATACTGACTTAATCTCATTTCAAAATACATCTTTTTATTAATCTTTCCAAAAAAGGGTAAGTCAATCTGTTACTTTCAGACAAATATGCTTAGAGTAAGAATCATGTCAATCCAATTTTCCTATACGTTATAAATATAGAAATATATAGAAATATATCTCGTAGCAAAATTAAAATTGAAAATTGAGTACATAAACCATTATAAACTAAAATTTACGTCGTATATATCCTCGTGCCAGTCAGACAGCGTGATGGATCATGGCGGGATCAGAATAAAGACTGTAAAAGTTTGTATTATATAAAATTATCCTCATATATCAGCCACACTCTCAAATACTACACATATTTATCAGCCACACCTTCAAATACTACACATATTTATCAGCCACACCTTCAAATACTACAGATATATATCAGGTACACTCACGCATACATAAGGACCTACAAAACTTTTTATTTATCACTTATATTCCTTTTGTTTTAAACAAGCACCATGTACCATGGAGGAGCTGTAATCTAGTCACCGACATCCACAACCCCTAGTGTGGGGAATATAATAAATTAATTTTGTCACAACCATATTTTGTGATGATAAAGTTTATTATTATTTGTCCTTCAAAATCTGTTATCGTATCGCTATCAGCCCACGCAAACATTAAAGTCGACACCATAATCTATATCCTTCGTAAGCCTAAAAGCCATGTGACATGTTATTAGAGAAATACTCGCCCATCTGTCACCTTGTGTTATTAGGTGAATATACTTAGATATTTTTGCCGTATTTTATTTTACTCCAACCAGCCCGAAAGAAATGCCGCTATGACCCTTGGTCATTGCCTCAGACTTCTCCATCTATTTCTTAGTTAGTTTGTTATTTATAGGCAAGTAAGTGATCATACTTATATGTTTTAGATGATTACGCATGTACTAAACTGTAGATTTAAAAATCTATAGGTTCAGGGACGAGACTCGAACGTGAGACTAAAGAAACAATCGTGCGCCTAGTAGTAGTAGTAGTATTAGTTGTAGGTTTGTTGAAATAGCATAATTTGTATTCATTATCATGCCAAAAGTAACCGCGGAGCATGAAAGTTGGTCGATTTTAGCATGCTTCTTATAAGCATAAATCATTTGTATAGATTAGTAATTACTGCTCCAATTCTAAATAAGCTTAACATTATGTTCATTACTATGAATACTGATAACAATATCTTAATATTATTTTGGGCCACTTTTCTATGTTCTACATTCGAGCATTTAAAAAATAAACTTTCACAGCATTAAGCTTATAAGTGTGCTTAAAACCAATAAAAGTATTCTTAAACAAAGATTTCTTTATTCATACTCTTAACTTTCTACAGCTTGCACAGGAATAATGAATTTAAATTGACAAAGTGTTGGCACGACTAAGCAATTAAATTTTTTAACGACTAACTAATGAAGAACCTTTTTTATAATTGATCAAGTCAAGCTTATTATAGTCAAAGGTCAAATTTAAATATTATTTTATATTGGTAATTGGTATTTTTTTTACTTTATTTATAACTCAATATTTATAGTATACTAGTGGACCCCACAGACGTTGTCCTGCATGATATTTAAAGCGATTAGGATATTAAGCAAAGTATGAAAGTACCGACTGCAGTGCCATCTGCCGGGCTGATTTGTGAATCTAAACCATTCCCAGATCCCCTTGAACACACACAAAAAATTTCATCAAAATCGGTCCAGTCGTTTGAGAGAAGTTCAGTCACATACACACGCACACAAGAAATATATATATTAAGATGTAAAATCGTAAAAAGTTTTTTGTTTGGGAATTTAAACAAATACATTTTATATTACTTTTATCGTTTAGATTTATCATAGTATGTATAGTTAGCGCAATAAACATAAATTTATGCAGTTTCTGGGAAAGTTCAGTAAGATGTGTTATCTATACTCATCGATAGTGAATACCATACTTTTCCAAAATTACTTGTAATACTAGCTGGTATTTTTTCCATCCTCAAATCATAACCAATCTATCTGAATAAAATAAAATAAATCGTTTTGTAATTTCGTTCCTATCATGGTAAGCACTTGTTCTCTTAGTTATAATATATGAACATATACTAACTGAAATATATAATCAATTGCCATACTCCTTCACTTATATATCCAGACGGTATTAGAAATTCAACGTTATTTATAAGAAAACACTCGACTAACAATATTCTACTTAATAAGGTATGACATCGCCCCGCACGTATGAATTATTTATAAGTATTGGAAATTATAACAACGTTAAGAGCGTCTGATTACTTTTATAATAATATTTTGAAGCCGAAATATACTTCAGTTTGATAAAGTCTCTTGATAAGCGAAGAATATAATTGGTTGTGAAAATAGAAATAGAACTTTTTCTTTTGCAAAGCAACAAATGTGTATTAGATCAAATTTCATAATCCTATAACGGAAAGAGAAAATGTATAAATGTATGTATTTTTGCATGTGACTAGTGTTTTATGGCTACAAAAAAAAAATCTGCCGTGATTACGTATATATATTATATATAACAAAACTTTTTCCTTAAACGTTTTGATATTTCATTAGACTACTATACACAGATATTACATATTAATATATATGATTAAGTATGGTACACATTTTTTAAACGTGTTTTAAAGGGCATATAGTATAAATTTAAACAGTAGCATATTGCGGGTCTTAGCTACTTGATTGCTACGACATGCTACGATGCTACGGCGTAGCTCTTGAAAGCTCTCTGCACATAAAGTGGAAAGTGGTTGGAGGCGGAAATTGCTTCTTTTCCCACTTAATAGGTTTATAAGATTGCACTATCTAGAGCTTTATAATGTCCAGTAAAAATAAAAAGCCTTATTACATTTCTTAGTCATAATATTATTGTGCTGTTTTTATTTCATATTATTTTAACTCATATCTTAGCATAAATTATGAAGTACCAAACATATTATGGCAGGTACGTGACGTATTATAATATAATATCAAATTATATAATAAATAGATGATATATTTATATGATAAATATCTCATTATTAGTAGTGAAGACCAATATTAGTATTATTATTAATAAAGACCA